TTAACAACACAGGGTGAGGCCTGCTATGTGGTACACAAACCAGAGCCATGTAATTTCTGAGCTATCCACCTGCATTTCATTAAAGAGGTAGTCTTACCAGTCGTCTCTATAAATCCGACTACTGTGAAGCGCCTACCGAGAAACGTGTTCGGAGAAACAGAGAATATCTGCTCAGTGGTATCCACTTGCTCCGGCTCTGGTCAAAGAGCAAAGTAACGACACACTGAGCGCAGTGTTAAACATTTACCAAAAGCACAGGGCATTAATACCCCCCCCCCCCAAAGCAGGGTTCGTTTGGATGAGTTGCATATTTACTCATAACCCGCTTCTTTCGCTTTAGTTTTGGATTCCATGGGCAAGTTGGTAAAGCATACAAAGACCTTTTAGTTGCTAAGAAACCCCTGCCCAGCCCCGTGCCTCCTGCCAGGAGCAGGTGCTGAGCTGGGCCCGGGAGAGGAGGAGGAGGAGGAGGAGGAGGAAGAGGGGGGAGGAGGAGGAGAGAGAATACATCAGGGCAGAGAGGAGCGGCAGCACTTACAGCCCCACAGTCCCAGGAGAGGGTGACAGCATGGAACCACAGACAGCGAGACGACCCACTCCCACACTCCCACCGAAGGCACACCCAAAACACTGACGCAAACGTGGTGCCCGTCTGCCACATTTGTTCAAAAGGCAAACACGCGCATATGATATATGATGCTGCGGCGCATAACTCCAGCTGAGTGCTTCGGGGGGGGGGGGTTTGTTTGTTTGGAACATTTTATCCCTCTCTGCCACAATCACTCGGTGATTACGTAACGCCCCTCTCGCCACTTCCACCCAGTGAGTCTCTCTCAGGCTTCCACTGGCACATCTGGGCAGGAGTCCCTCACCTCTGCCCCTCGTGGAAAAACGGCACATGCGGCTTTAAAGGCGCGCTGGATACAGGAGGAGGTCGATTGCGTGCGGCGAAGGCAGAGTTGCCGGGGTTTTATTTGTGCTGAGCTCTCAGGAGCACTAACGGGATGGATGGTAGCCGTGCATCAATATTCATAGTGCACCATTATGTTATGAAGAATTAATGAATCGGAAATGGTCCGGGTTTCCAGCCTTTTCCTGCAAGCAGCATAGGTGGCCCTCCTTTCTATCTCAATTTCCAGTCCTCCCACAACATAAAGGCATTTAAACTACACAGTGTGATGCATCCTGTGCTCTGACTTTCTACAGAAACAGACCATGATGTGGATTTAACGCAGAATACAAATCTGATTATCAATGCGGTAACATGCCAGGATGCCCTCTAAAAGTATTTTTCAGAAACAAGTCTACTGAGCCCTCGGGCTCAGAGTACAATAGACAAATTGAGGCAGACATTCTTGGTTAACTAAGTCCATGCTGCATTGTGTTTGATCATCTACCCTACTGTAATGGACCAGATTTAGCTGCTGTATGCTGCCACCCGGTGGAGACAGTAAATGCATCACAAGCTTGATTTAAAGAAAAAAGAGATGGTTCATTGAGTGTGTGTGATGCACAGAAGTCAGAGGCCATAAAAAAGCAAATATTCTTTCCATTAATCTCATTCCCTTCTATTCACAATTCAGTCATCACACAAACCTTTTCATCAAAGGGAGCGATATGTAAATGTCTGCTGCAAGGCTGCTCAAAGAACACTGGAGTCCAACGTTTATTAGTGAGTTAAACGTCAGTTAAACTAACTGAGGATATCCCCAAAGAAAGCCACTCTGCTTTATCACAGCAGCCTAATGCACGCTGACAGCGTGTTCATGAAAGATAAAGAAGTGTTTGCCTTCAGAGGCCTCAGGGAGACACAGAAGCAATACCCCTCCCAAATTTTACCCCGCTCAAAGAGGCAGCTGTTGGACTGGAATAACACCCCGCTCTTAAATCATGCCGAGCTAAAATACAAGTATTTTATTCAAACATTCAACCACACCGTGACAGTTTCAACCCTTGTCCTTCACATTAAAAGATATTAGATACTCACATTGTTGACATGTCCAGGGTCATGGCACATCGCAGTCCCAGATGAGATGGTGCCAGGTCAAAAACACAGAGACAGAAGAAATATTGTATGAGCACAAATAGATTGTTTGATAAAGAAAAAAAACTTCAAGTGGTAAAATACATGTTTACATTACATTTAGTTTGGCCGTCATGAACATTGTTCTATCCAAAATAACGCCAAATCATGCAGGTAGAAGCCTAGAAATATATATATTTTAAATAATTGAAGGAATGTATAACTCTTGTCATAGCACTGAAGCAGTTTTTTGGGCAGACTCCGGGGTTTCTGATGCGTTTACGTCCGGCAAACACAGTCGGTGGCTATACCATTCAACCTTTCACGGCATTATTTTTTAAAATGTTTTTCGTAGTATGTTAACATATAATGAAAACACTATAGCACGCCAGGCAGCCTGGTTCTTAATGTTCTATCTCGGCTGGCACCAGAAATATCTGTGAGCCCGCCGTGTTTGCATAATCCCGCTAAATAGGTTGCGGTGAACTCTGCGCGAACTGACGCCGGGGGAGAGAATACCTGTTCAGAGAAAAAGGTGAGCCGGAAAAAGCAGACGGGCACGCAGTGATCGAGGCTCCGGGAGGACGGTTCCTACCTGAGCTGACAGGGTGGCCCCTCCGGGTGTCTCCTTCACCTTTGTGGCGATGCCATAACCTCGCTGTTCGTCCTCAGAACGAAGTTGGAAACTATCGATCAGGTTTCCGAGAGGCGGTGACGCAGCTCCAGTGACGAAGCAGCGTGAGCGGTGACGGGAGGAGATCAGATGCAGGAGCCTGGCTTAAAAAGAGCTGCTCTCAGTTAGAAGTCACATCATCACATCAACGCCACAGCCACACAAAAGCACCCACACACGCACACACACACACCCTCCCCATCGCTTATTTTTAAAAACATATCCACGATTTTTTACTTACTTGTTTAGGTGAGTCCTGCAAATCCTGTAAGTTGGTGTTTTTTACATCCTACTGTTTGGGCAACAGAGAACAAATATAAAAGCATGCATATTTGCTCTTCTATTTTTCAGATTTTATTTTATTTTTGTATAATAAATGTGCTGACTTTACAATATGTTCCACACGAGGGCGATGTGATGGAGGAAACCGTTTTTTACTGGTGAGAGGCATTTGAACTTGCCATTAAATAAATTGGACCTAAACACCACAATCACCCTAACTAACCCCACAGTGTTTTTTCACACACGCACAAACACATCCTTTCACACAGCGCCTATTTTATATTGTCTGCCGTGCAGATTCATCCATCATGGACCATTTCATTGGATCATATTTGGATCTTGCATCCACGTAGGTCCCCACATTTGAGCCCAGATGCCAGATCATAACTTGAGTGGGACATACCCTCAACTTGTCCAATCCACCTGACCAGTTTGGGGGGGGGGGGGGGGGGTTTTCCCCTGGGGGAAGCAGGAGAACAAATGCACACACTGACCCCCCAAGCTGGGATTCGTACCCTCTTGCTGTGAGGTGGAAACATTCATTTCATTGTTGCATACAAAGTCTTTTACCGCACGCTTATTATAAACCCATCACTTAGCATTTCTTGCATTCTTTTTATGAAACACTTCATTACCCTCTTATTAAACACTCATTCTGACACTAATGAGCACTCTGGGTATTTTCCAAGCATCCTGGCTGAAATAGTGAGTACCGGGAAGAATCAGCCCCGTTTTCATTTGGGCTTTCCACTAGTCTGTGTCCCTAAAAAGTCTCATCTGCATCCATTGCACAAACTGTACACACCCCATGTTTGCCTTGTGCTGTTTCCAAGTGATTTACGGCTTTGGGGACATTGTTGGACTCATAAGAGAGGGACAAATAGTGTTATTCATGTACGTGTGGCAGTTTGCTGAAGTGACCCTTCATCCCGGTACATAGCACATAGTGGAATTTGCCTACTGGAATCTTATCTGTAGCGTTTTAGCAACGGAGGGAGAGATCATGGCTTTTAGGAACAAAGGAAGTCTGTACAGCTTCCAAGTGCAGCAGCCAGTATGCTCACACTGGGGACAACGCCTCCTCCATTATCACACCCAGCAGCCCGGACCCACCCAGTGGCTCCCCAGTGTGATTAACTCTACACACTTCGGCTTCACGGGAGTCCGTATACAAAGATATACAGCTTTCGCTTCCTTCGTACAGTGCAGTCCAAGGAAGTTTTTGGGCCGAGGACACATTGCCCTCTGCTGAATGTTTCTATGACTGCAGGCGTGTTGATGAGAAGTGGATCTTTTCCTCTTCTCTGTCAATCTGCATCTTTCACACATTATTTGGCATCACTTATTCCAAGTGTTTCAAAGACAGTGTTTCAGGCTGTAATTCTGCTGACAGACTCTACACCACCACCTCCAACCATGGTTAGGTTACTGGGTTCGATTCTTTACCCTGAAACCTCTGCAGCTGACGGACTTAGTCACTCCTTTGAGGAATCAAACTCTCATGTCTCAAAGCATGAACGAGCCTCCACCGTGCTTGACAGTAGCTGGGGTTCCTTTTCTATTTGCACCACTGATAAAAAGCAAGATACAGAGAGAAAAAAAACGTTATACCACATTTCTACGTTGTTTTACCGTTTTCTACATTGTGAGACTGCAGCTTATCTGTGACAGATTCCTTCCTTCAGCACACGGTGCCCTACTTGATTCGGCTTGCTGTCCCAGCCGTGAGAACATTTTTCTAGTACGTTAAAAATCGTTTAGGTGAGGCTTTCGTTGTCTTTAATGTAGCTTCTGATGCCATCGGAAAGTTTTCCGTTGATTGTCGCTGTGTCAAAACATCTGGAAAGATTCTGCTTCTTTTCTTCTTGTTTTATTCCACATGACTGATGTTATTCAATTTTATGGAAATTCAGGCCTGTATGTAGAATCCAGGCAGGGTTTTCTTTGCTTATTTTTTTTGGTCTCGTAAAACTTTAGTTTGAATGTTTAAAGATAATAGTAAAAATGATAAAAGTGATGAATTATGCTGATTTGATCAGTTTCGGTTGGTTGTTCTTATTCATGGTTGGGACCAGACATTCACGCCCGCTGAGGCTTTTCTTTTTGGTTGTGTCAAACAGGAAGACAGCAGGTAGGTAAGGACTGCCCTCTGTGGGAATTCTGCAGTTCGCCCACGAGAGGATGAAGTTCTGTCTTAAATATGGCTGATAAAGGCCCATTTTTAACCTCCTGTATCATTTTCTACCTGTCGATCGGGGCCGCGTTATTTCAAATCCTCGAGGAGCCCAACTGGGTGTCCGCCAGAGACAAGTATATCCAAGATAAGGAAAAACTTCTGCAGAAGCACAGCTGCCTAACCAAAGAAGCCCTCGACGAGATTCTGAAGGTAAGCAACTTCTCCTTCCGCGGGGTGACGGGAACTCTCCCTAAATCTGTGTTCTATCGAAAAATCTACACGATGTGTTTACTTCTTTTCTTTAAAATCGGAAGCGACAGGGGCGGTTAACAGAGCCAAAGAGAAGTGTCCTACACAAAGAGAAAAAAAACCTGTTTTTCGTGTTTGGGAACAGCAACAGTTCCAGTCGTTTACAATTGAAAGCGACTTTCATATTAAGAGGCACGCGGTAAAAACCGGAGTAGGGGTTTTTAGGTGGTCCGCGCGTGCGTGAAGGAGACGGGTTTCGGCACGCGCGGCACTCCCCAGAACACCCGGACTCCTAACCTCATTTGTTTGTTTGTTCGTTGTTCACCTGAAATGTTCAAGTTGACACGAGAGCGTTTTCACCCAGGAAAGGTGACAGGCAGAAGTTTGCCAACATAAAAAGTCTGCCCCATGTCTGCCCCCCCCCGCCCCCTCCGCAGGTAGCGTCCGAGGCCGCCGGCCAAGGCGTGTCCATCACCGGGGACAGGCACCGGAACACCTGGGACTGGGCCAACTCCGTCATCTTTGCCGCCACCATCGTCACCACTATAGGTCAGACTCAGAAATCTTTACATTCGGGTGGCACGAGCCGGCTGTAAATAAAATAAATGTAGGATAATCGTGCACCCCTTTTTGACTTATTTTGTTTGTTTTCTAAATGGAATGCTTTTCAACTGTGTTTGAAACATCTCATCTCTCCCTAAATTTTTCTTACACTTAAATATGGAATTTTTAGTTAACTCCATGGGGGGAAAACGTCTAATACCCAGTCACAGATTTTTTATCTTGTCCTCTCATACTTCTTCAGGCCGATACTTGATAGTAAAAACTTTTTCTGTTGGCCCGGATCGAGGCTGAACCTTTTTTCTTTGTGATCTGCAGGCTATGGCAACGTTGCTCCCAAAACGAAGGGCGGCCGCGTGTTCTGCATCCTGTACGGCCTGTGCGGGATCCCCCTCTGCCTGGTGTGGATAAGCGAGCTGGGGTCCTTCTTCGGAGACCGGGCTAAGCGCCTGTCCCAGGTTTTGATACGAAGAGGCGTTTCTGTGGTAAGAGTCCCTGTGATGGACTGCACAGGCAAAACCAAGCCGGAGCAAAACGTCTGTTTTATAGCTTTATTTCTCCTCCCTGCGTTTCAGAAAAAGGTCCAGTTTACCTGTACAGCCCTGTTCCTCTTATGGGGGCTGCTGGTGCATCTCCTGATCCCTCCATTTGTCTTCATGTCTGTGGAGGGATGGAGCTACCTGGAAGGCATCTACTTCTCTTTCATCACACTCACAACAGTTGGCTTCGGAGATTATGTAGCAGGTGAGAGCAATTGGCCAAACGTGGTTGACTTAAAGTTGTGATGTCAAATCTAAGCCAGAGCACTGACTGTCATTCTAGGTGTAAATCCAGATATAGAGTACCCCCGGCTTTACAGGATGTTTGCAGAGTTATGGATCTACATGGGGCTGGCCTGGCTGTCTCTCTTCTTCAGCTGGAATGTTCACATGGTGGTGGAAGCTCACAAAGTACTGAAGAAAAGGCGCCACCGGCACAGGCAGTTCCACAACGTGGAACCGGAGCGTCTGGAGGAGCAGAAAGACCAAGACGCGAGGCCCACCGTTATCGACATCTTCAACTTCCTCTCCGAGGAGGAGGAAGACTACAGCACTGTCATCAAGAAGATTGGAAACACGCCGACGAGAAGAAAGCCAGAAGACAACATCAATCGGTCTAAGAGCTGCAACGACATCCTGGCCATCCAGACCCTGGATCACTCGCCACGACACAGGAACATGCTCAGCATCAGTGAGGTGTTTGTGAATGCAAAATTTGAAAAAAGTGAGGAAGAAGAAGTGAGTCTTCTTAGAAAAGAGAAAATCAGAGACATGGCACCTACAGAGTGTGTAAAAGCGGATCATGAGAGCAAGGACGATGACTCTTCTGAACCTGAAAGCGGTGGCATCTTCTTCATTGTACCATCCAAAGAAAAAACTAAAGAGGAGAGTGTGCCGCATCCCGACGGGGGGGGCACGAGGTTCACTATATCCAAGGTGGCCCCGTCTGGAGACAAAGCCGAGAAAGGGTGAAATACGCTCAGACATTCTCTGTGAGATTCTCTGTTTGATTTCAGGGATTTCTTTGTGTCAGCAAAACAATGCCAAAAAAAATCACTAGCTGAATTTAGTGAAACTTCTCTAAGTTTTAAAAACAGCCAGGCTACGCTTTGGGGGTGAGCGTTTCATTTAGTAAAAAATTATTTTGAATGTGAATGCCTTTTGTCCCAACGCGTTTCACTGTGCGTCTGTGGAATTTTCCTAAAAGTTGCAGCTCTCAAAGACCAGCAACACACCGAGATCTCACTTTGTTTAATACGATACAAGGCACGCAACATTGCCACAACGTTGCTGCCATAGACACACACAGAAACTTACTGACGCACTGGATACAAATGATCTCAAGACACAGTACAGAGCTTTGTGGAAAATTGTGCCGATAAGCAACTTTCCCTCATAGGGAGCTGCAACAGTGGAGCCCATGAGTTCATGACCGTTATCGGCGTACTCCAGGCTCACCACCGGCCCATCTGACAGGATGTCCTTGATTTTGATGACCTGTACGAAACACAGTTAAATTAGTAGGTAAAGTATAAAACCAATGCTATAATTTGATAATAAAAGAAACAAACCTCAGAGCCCGGTGGATCTTCAGGGTTGTAGTTTGACAACTTGGCTCCGTTTGGATGACAGCCGAGCCAAACGTCACCCGTCCTGTGGTCCACCTCTACGTTGTCACAGAGGGATCCCACAGCTACAGACTGGTTTAGAATAGGTCATACAGGAAATGGGACCATGAAGTGGGACAGGAAACTCTTATGAGGCTGAGCTGTGCCATTACTGTATCTTATTTCCAAGTAAATTAGGAAATCGTTGTATCACCTTGACAAACACCAGCCGCTCCCCTTTTTGTCTCTCAAAAACATCTATTTCGTGGTCCAAGATATCCGAAACATAAATATATCTGCAAAAAGGAAATAAAGAAATAGGCTTTTCCGCCTCAGTTTTGGAGCTTCTCATGACAGAAATTGTTCGTATTGAGAATAAGAATGAATGTGGGCATTTTCTGTGAGTTATTGCTGAATGATTAACCGTTTGTCAGGTGACAGGTTGATCCCATTAGCTCCCTGAATGCCGTCGGCTGCCACTCTGACTTCCTGTGGGCTGTAGTACACCACATCGGTCAGGGGCACACCCAGGATGACAACCAGGAACTGAAGTAGGAAATTCTGGAAATAGCGGTCGTTGGTGGCGTAGAAGTGCTCCGCCCCCACCGCAACTATGTCGTTCACACTGGAAAACCAGAGGAAAGCCCGGCCTGGTCAGGGAAAGCCTTGGTCAAACGCACTGGGGCGGGTCAACGCGGCACACACCTGTGCAGTAAGGGGTGGGTAATAGTTTTTAGGTGCACAAGCGTCTGCTCCTCAATGTAGCGGAAGATCTCCACCTGGCTATCGTGATGAGGGTGATTGACAACGAACAAATACACAGAGTCATCTGAAAAACAAGCAACAAACAAAAAACAAAAATCAGTCAACTCAAACTGAGATGCTAAAGTTCCTGTCAGTGGAAAGGGGCAGAATTTATTGGAAACTAAAAGTTTCGGCCTCACTACAGTCAAAGCTGATTTAGAAACCAGACAGACTATAAACAAAAGAAAAGCTTTTAATTGCAGGACTCAGGATTAAAAATGTCAGTAACTCAATATCAGCTCCCATAGAGACTGCTTTAAATATCAAAGCAGTATTTAAGTTTGTTCTGCTCTCCTTCAAAAAAGTGTTTAAAACCATCATGATAATTTCTATTAAGGTTTAAACACAAAACTGTTAAATTGACTTGAAGTTTTTTTGTTTGTTTGTTTTTTACAAATTTACATTTAAAGGAAACTTATTCCACCTATTTGAGAAAAAGATCAAACTTTACTTACTACTCAAATAAAATCTTGGTTTAAAGAGGGCTTTGACTCCTCTTAGGTTTTCAGGGATAATAAGTTTATTCTTTTCTTAGGGTGCTTGTATTTTTTTTTATGTTGGAAAACTGAGACGTAATCCACCTGCTTCATCTGTGAACACACTAATGCCGTGCGGGTTGAATGAGCTGAGGTCCAGATCCCCTTCGATCTGCAGCTCCTCCGGGGTCGGCTTGGGGTGCAGCAGATCCAAAACATACATTTTTCCTGGGTCATCGGAGAATGACGGCATTCCGGGATAATGCAATCCCTGAGAGGAGAATACTCTACGTAAACAATGCCTGACAGTCTCCTATCATGTTTTAGAGGAGGCCACTGGGGAGAAGCTACAGAATCCAAGTGTAGTAACTTGACATATTTAACTATTGAGCAGTAGTGGACTAGTCGTGGCTGAAGTGGTTGGACGATTAATTAAAGAGGTGAAAAAAACATCATTGACCATTAAAAAAACAACATACAGTGCTGAGGAAGGCACGCCCATCTGGAAGTACTGCAATGTCCTCTGCCCCATAATCTTGACACAGAAAAGAAAAATCAGACACACAATGGCATTTCCAAAGCTCCCACAAAGCTGCCTTAACGTTTGCATTGCTGACATTTGACCTACTGAGTAATATTTGGACTTTACACTTCTCAGGTTTTCCCAGTCTAAGACACGGGACAGGGAAAGGAAGGAGCAAAAAGAGAGCATACCAATGTTCTTTAAATAATGGCAGTTGAGGTGTTTCACGGGCATTTCTCTGGAAGCAAGGCTCAGTTCACTGCAGAGAACATGGAAGAGGAACGTCGCCTTTAAAGTGTTGAGAGTTACACACAGACCAACAACATCTGCGATTTTGGCTGCTGCTTTCTATGACACATGCACGACACAACACGCAGCTCCACGGCACATCTGGAGTAAATAACCTACTTCAGTCTGAGAAACGATCCTCCAAGGACCGCCGCAAGAGCAGCGACAGCAGCAGCGAGCCGCACTTTGGTCCCAGTGGCCATGACTGAAGTCAGGAAAGTTCCTCCGGTGCAGTTACAGAGCCGCGCCACAGGAGGCGCTCGAGCGCCTTTATACCAAGAAACAGCAACACTTCAGAATCATGTGTACAGCACAGTTATGCTAGCGGTAAAACTGTATCAAACGATTGCCGAGGCTTGGAGCTAAAGGTGTCCCAAAGTGTTGGCTCAGGTTTCGGTCTGGCTTTATTGGCACCCTGTCCCTGCTAGCGTGCTGCTTTCGTAGAGAGTTCCTTTCTATGATGTCAAGACGCGGACAGGCGGCCAATCAATTGTTACTGTAAATCCTGACCCTTTTATAAGATCCTGAATGCAGCACAATCCAGAAGGAACGTCTGGAGCCGCGGCGTGTGATACAGTGACTGAATGGCTGCGTACGCTGGACAGGCAAAAGGTCACTGGACTGGTAAAAGGCCAGCGGGCTAACAAAGTCAACAAATATGAGCGGCACAAACGGCAAAAAAAATCAAATTGATCAAATACAGCAAATGGCCAGAAATGACTTCAGATAAAGCATTATCTTACATTGTGAAGTTTGTTGAATGTATCTGATGCCTGACCGTTTCTCCTGTGCTGTTAACTGTTTCTAGCACATTTTCCTCTTTATTGGAAACACAGGTTAATCTAATTACTGACTGAACTTCTAATTAAATGCAACTGCTTACAGTTAAATAAGTATATACAGACTGTTCATAAATGGCTCTACTATGCTCCAGACGGCTGCTTGGAGCTGTTCAATAGACAAAGCAAGACAGAGTATTCAGTTTTATTTACATGACCTTTTATTAAATTTCAAATACACAGAAAAAACAACAATTAAAACATGTAAACCATCCAAGAGTAACTTGTTCACACTGTCCCCATCAAGGGAAAAAAAAGCATATTCAACATACACCGAACACCAAAAACTGAAGCATAATTTTCCATAAGTAATATTTTGTATCAAGTGGTTGAAATATCTGATAAATTATGACACCTTATCAAAACCACTCCACTCAGGTGAACTCCAGCTCCTCCTCGGGCCTCCTGGAGCAGGCAGGCACCAGCTGAGAGGTTCATTTTCTTGCACCATTAACAGATCCTGGTTGCTATCTTAAAGTACACTTCATTTACACAAACAGGTCCAGCAGAATCGCACATTAGGGCTCAAATCATCGCTGCCCCGGTTCCCGTTCGTCTAACTGCATTTCTTCACAGAAACAAAAGGACTGTCTACTTCAAGTCACAGCACAAAGCTTTGTGGAACACACTCCCGATGAGCAGCTTCTCCCCATAGACGGCTGCCACAGATGAGCCTTGGATCACATGGCCGTCGTCCGCGTAAACCTGAGTCACCACCGGCTGATCAGAGTGAATGTTCTGGATACGGATGACCTGCAAAAATGTTAACCGCAATCATGAGAAACAATGTAACGGCTTTAAAAACATAGAAATCTGCTGTTTGTGTACAGAGAACATAAAAATACAAACTAGGCTGACACATTCCCACTTTTCATGATACTTTCAGGCATCTTAATGTTCGCCATCGATTGAAAGAAGAGACAAACCTCAGATCCAGGCGGGTCTTTGGGGTCGTAGATGAAAAGTTTTGCTCCATTGGGGTGACAGCCCAACCACAGGTCACCGGTTTCAGGATCAACTTCAATGTTGTCACAGAGTGAACCCAGAGCCAGGGACTGGTGAGGTGTGACAGAGAAAGTTACCATTATACACCCCACATGTGGCCCTCTAGAACTAGTAGCTTCTCAGCCGGATTTCCAGGTGACCAGAGCCGAGTAGATGCGGCCTGCAGGGCACCGATTGGCCAGAGTCCCGTCACTGAGTGAGTCATGAAAGCGGCCACACACATTGTGGAACTCATTTGTTATGGAACAAAATCTACATCTAGTTTGTATTATAAGCAATGGAGTACCAGAGCCACAGAACCACAATGTTGCAGAACTACTCTTTAACTTTATGGAACAGGATCAGAAAAACATGTGGGACTTCAGTGTCCAATGGTGTCCAGCTGGTTTCCCTTTTTTTTTAATATAATCTGCTTTTCCATAAGGACATACTCCAGTGACCGAAGCAATGTTGTGCATTTTCTGGACAGGCATTGCCCCCAATGGTAAATTGAAATGCATCTCACACATCTAAAACAGAAATTTTCATAAAAGTCACGATGGAATTTGGGCAAACTATTTATTCTGTTCTGGTACTAAATCTGTGACTTTTTGATCTCACCATTCCTAAAAACAAAAACAAACAGTGAACTGTACCTTCACAGGGGACAGCGAATTGTCTTCTTTCCGCTCCAACACGTGCACATCGTGGCCAAAGAGGTCCATCACGTATAAATGCCTATGAATGACACAGAACATTCAAATAAAGATATTCACACATGCATGTCTGTGTGCAGAGCCCTGCGGGTCATTCTAACCTCGTGTCTGGAGAGATGTTGATTCCATTTGCGAAGTAGTAACCCTCAGAGACCACTTTGACCTCCTCAGGACTGTAGTAAACAACGTTGGTCCAAGGCTGAAGCAGAAGCATCTCCAAGTTTTTGAGCATCAAATTGGAGAAGTAGTGATCATTGGTGGCATAGAAGCTCTCCGCTCCCACTGCAACAACGTCATTTACACTGCAGGGGAGATCAGAATCCAACACATAGTTCACACATTCCTAATCAGTCCATCTCCATTTAGTTAATGTGCCACCGAACTGGTCACCTGTGGAGCAGCTCGTGTTTTATGGTCTTTAGATGCACCAGGAACAGTTCATCCTCCATGAGTTTGAACAACTCCACCTGACTACCGTGCTGAGGATGATTCACAACGAACAGGTACACCGTGTCATCTGAGAGATGGCGAGAAAAGGAAAACACTGTTCAGCGAGAACACCACAAACCCAGAGGACACCGAGTGACACATTTATTAAAAGGAACATCTTCAAAAGTGGCAAACGCAAACAATCCGAAATCTAAATGTCCTGCCCAGCATTAGAAATAAAAAGGTGATCTTGAGCATGTTGATCCCTTTGATTTTTCAAAGCTAAGTGTCTTTTTTACGGCAATGTAAGCTGCCACTGTTTAACTCCACTGGGTAACAAACCACACCCAAGAAATAGCCCCCCCAGCAGTAACTGTGAAAATGACTACAGGTTTGTTCACATGCTCAGAATAGCTCATATTCACCCAAAGAAAAACCTTGGGTGACAGTCCAGCAGGTTGTTTTCTGCTGCAAGAGAGTTTGTGAATAATAGACGACACATCTAACAGTAACTATCATAAGGTGAAAATGGCAATTATCACATTTTCTAAAAATTCAACATTGCGTTATAACAACTGACTGCTCAGAGGCTTGTCACCCACTCCATGTTGTTTATTTTTGGTTAAAAACCTCAGATCAAATACACTCTTTTCAGCATCTGATCTACCATAATGAGCCGAACATCAAAGTGAGAGGGAGAGGCATAGTCCTTGAGATGCAACAGCACCATTTAAACGGATCTAACCAAAAGCCATCCGTTTTCCCTGAGAAGCAACACGATTACCTTGGTTGCTACAGCCTTGCTTTTGACTTTCCCTCCATATTAGTCAGGAATGACCTGAGCTGTACGTGAACTTAATTTCTTATTATTGTTTCAACTGTGCAACTTGTGGAACAAAATAATAAAAATAAATCAATGAATAAATACATTTTAAAACTTTTTTTTCAGACAACCAAATTAACTACGTGTGTGTGCAGCAACACGCTGTTCAAACTGTCTTCCGAGAAAAAGCTCTCGTTATTCTCATTTACTGCCAATTTTTTACAGTTCCATAGGTGTCCTTTGTCAAGCAAGGGAAGGATATCCAAATCAGTTCCAAAGCCAACGCGTGTGGCATCATACAAGTGGCCCTGAGCAAAAGTAAACATTTAGCAGGATTTGGACGACACATTCTTATGTCCTGTGCATGGACACTGGGCCCGGGAATGGAATCTGAACATGTCACCCAGCCCTGCTCGGGCTTATCAGTAGATATTCCCACGTTTGGTAATTACCACCAATTTCAGACTGCATTAATACAGTCTAACAATCACGAAGAGCAGGTAGTGTTTTTTTTTATATGTGTGCAACCACAGGTGAGACAGAGTTGCTTTTACCAGCTGGATCGGTGTAGGCACTGATGCCATGAGGGTTGAAGGACTCCAGGTCAAAGTTCAGTGGCATTCGCAGCTCCATGGGTTTCAGGCGAGGATCTTGCAGATCGAGGGCGTAGATTTTTCCCGGCAAACCTGACGCTGGGACTCCAGGATAATTGAGGCCCTTGAAATATAGAAAACATACTCAGTTAAAGAGGTGTATAAAGCCATTTCTGGACTTTTAAGGGAGTCTTTTACAGGTTTCTACCTTCCATGTGGAGATTAATCAAACATTTAAACAGTATTTGGGAGGCATGTTTGCCTTTTTCTATCAGAAGTCAGTTTGACCTGCAGAGGCTTGTCACTGTTTCAGCTCATATACTTACAGTGCTTATGAAGGCAAGTCCATTTCCAAGGATGGTTATATCCTCTGACCCACGCTCTGAAAAAGGGGGAGATTTGCATTGTTGCTTTTTTAAGGACCCCCCAAAGGGTGAGCAAAGGTTTAGGTCTTTCTTTGCTTACCCAGATTCTTTAGAGTTACACAGTTGGGAAGGTGATTCTGCACCAACTCCCTAAACGCGAGGGTCCTTTTTCTGCAGCGTTTCAGCACAGAGATTAACTGGGGAAAGTTTCGGCACAAACTCTGCCTTGCATCAAAACAAAACATAAACAATGATGTGTTTTAAACATTACCTAAAGCGGAAAATCCTCTCTCCGAGCAGCGCCGACGCCACAGCTATTAGGACCGCAAAGGTGCCTAGTTTGCCCATTTCCACTTCCACAAGGCGCAGTTTGCACCGCGATCAGATCTCTGGAATCGGGACGGTGCAGGGCATGTCGCTGCATTCCCGATTGATGCTGCGTTCGAATCTGTCGGACACATTTCAATCGTCCCATCCCCCCTCTCCCCGGTGATTGATATAGACCGTATGTTTGATATTAGATTCAAATACACAGCTGGATCCTATAGATTTATGTCTGCTCATGATCAATGCTTTCACTTTTATTTTGCAGCTTTTGTGAGCAAACGGACTTGCATTTGTCCGATAATATAGGAAATCCTGACGACAAATAAGCACCTGAACGCAGCATGATCTGGAATAAACATGTCGACTTGCTCGTTGAAAAGATTTAGAAGTCAGTGTGAAAAAAGTAATATAATTGCTTGAAAAGGGCAACTTTTTATGTAAAGTGACCAAATAGTCTTTTAAAATTACCACAAAATGACTGCAATGAAACAAAACATTCAGGTGAAGAAATGATTAGATACATGATCAACAAGATAGGATAGACAAGAACATGAACAAAAAAAGAAAAACAATCTGCTACTGGAAAGAAGCAAAATGACGAAAATTGGACAAAACACTACTGAAAGACGGCACGCACACACACACACGCATACATATAATTTGAAAGTCTATAAACACATGAAAATGTGACTGTGGACAAAAGGGGCAAGTCATGTTGAGTTTTATGCCCACTAAGGAGGCCACATGACACATTAACTGTTATTAGATTGGGATTTACTTCACTCCAGATGGTGGACTGACTTCTGCTGTTCCTGTGTAGTCCTTTCAGTGTGTGTGTCACCGGAGGACATCAAAGAACAAGCCCAACGCTCGTCCAGTTAGCTGGAACACCGGATCCCATTTAGGCCCAGTACGTGCCTCATTTGTGCACGCGGTTTGAATCTGTTAACTTACCAGGAAAAGCCAAGACCGTTCTCTGGCATGCAGACTCCAAAAGTACAAGTATGCAAGTCATGCAGACTCATCCTCCCTTTGGGTTGTGTGGATTTTACCAGCCGGAGGTAGGACAACCTGAACATGGCTCACTGGGGATGCACGCAGGGACCATCGAGGTCTCATTGATGCCAAAGAACATATCCATCAACCTGGAGTCATTTGAAATAAGTTGCAATAAACCGATGAAACTATCATTTTTTTTAAAAAGAGAATGAACCCTGCCCTGTGCGACACACTGACTGACCTTCCAAGGGGTGCACTCAAAAACATGTAGCGCCTGCAGAACCCTGTTTAAATTGTTTATTTTTGAAGTTGTTTTTCCGTAGGTGATGACTCCTCCCAACATAAAACAAAAAGGTTACAAAATTGTCTATGTAATCAAAATCATGTGTAAGAGACTTCATAAAAAACAAACATGGACACATACATACACATACAGAAGTGAAAGTAACATAAAGTTGGCAAACTATTGACCCTGTGAAACTCAGCATTGGGTGCATGCAACCTGACAGTAACTGTAGAATATCTACAAAAGTCCAATTAAAGAATGATAGCATCTAACAACTTCAAAACACCAACAACTCCTGCACATTACATCGTGTGCAACCAGCGAACACTGTTAAGTGGGGCACACCAGATTCCTGACTCTTTGTTTTGTGAAGTCGCGTAAAGGTTCACAGTGTAATACAGCAGGATCCCCATCAAACAGTTTCAAGCAAGACTGTATATTTGGAACATACAAAATAAATTTTATTATCCATTCTCTTTATGTCTACATCTTATTAGAATTTCTAGACAATGGCATCGTCAAATAACACACCCAAATTAACTAATAAACCCGACAGGTGCAACAATGCATTTCTGTCAAGCCCAGGTGTCATATAACTGAATGTGAAAAGCAATTTAAATCTTCTTCTTCGTTATTTTTCAACATAAAAAGGGGAGCCATGGTCCCTGGCCACGGTGTGAGCTAGGCAGGACATGGCCATGAGCACACGTTAACACAGGTGAGGAAGTGGCTTCAGGGCTGGGCCCCGGTGGCGGCGGGGACTTGTGTGGCCAGAGTGTTGGGGGCAGAGATGACGGGAGATCCAGCAATGTTAGCCATCGGCTGCGAGGAGGACATGGAGGCGATGCCTGAAAGAGACGTGCGGCTCGTTAGTCTTTCTGGAAAGACTTAAATCTTAAATCGCTAAGGAAAGCCGGGCGGCAACTGGAGGGAGACAACTCACCGGCCATCATACTCGAGGAGCTGACTGGAGTGGAGCTGGCAGCCATTCCGCCAGGAGTGGCCCCCCTTCCCTGATCTTTGACGATGGGATCTGAGAACGCAAGCGGATGTGAGCTCTTCATAAACCCACAGCAGTTAGACTGTGGCATGAAATAAGGTGCGGACACGACGCTCACAGAAGTAGGGATGATCCATGGCCTCTCTGGCTGTGAGGCGGACTTGATGGTCATAGCGCAGCAGCTTGTCCAGGAAGTCTAGAGCCTCTGTGCTGACTAGGTGCTGGTTCTCGCTGTGCACAAACCTCTCCCATCTTTTGCGGGAATGTCTGGAAAAAGGGGGCGGAGGCCAAAATGTCAAATTGAAATCTGTCCCGCAGATGGAGAAAGGCGCACCCATCTCAGGTTCCTCCAAACAGGAAGCCGCCATTTCTGATCTCTTACCTTCCCAGAATGTCATTGAACCGTGGATCCAACTCAATGTTGTACTTGTCTATGTAGTCGTACAGGTCCTCTGTGCCCAGCACTTTTGCAATCCGCACAAGCTGCAGGTTTGGAGACACAAATCAACCGGTTAGAAAAGCGCACATGGGAAAACAAACATTAACCCCACACCAAATCATCAATACACATTTGAATTATTACACGCGGCTTTGTCATGAGGATTGAAGCTCTGCAACCTTAAAGGTCTGACGACAGATGTTTGGAATGAAAACGAGTTTAAAAACTAGTGTGTCGAGGCCCTTAAATGCAGCTGGTGAAATGGAATGATGAAACCTTGCATGTCATCACATGATTGTGTAGCAACGGTAGATAGGTCAATGTTTTCCTTTCAGCCCATAAAGCGTGCTGAATGGGACCCGTTTTTGGAGGAAATGAGAACAAAACGACAACTATCGCAATATCCAGACATTTCTTCCATCCCTCAAACCACCTGATAGCTTGATATTTGAAACTTTGCTTCATTCAAAGTCTGAAATCATCATCCTATAGCAATACAGATCTCATTTAAAAAAGTATGTTTATTACAAAAGATTGTCTTTATTCAAACATGAATAAAGACAAAAACATTTTCCTAACTTAAATTCAGCTATGTTTAATAATAAAATCTGACTTAAAAAAAAAAAAAAAACCTTTCATTTTCATCTTTTTGGTTACTTGTTCATAAGTAGGTGGTCACAGATCAAATATATACAAATGACTCATTCTTATGGGGACAAAAATCCTGCAGTACAACTAAGGCTAAAATGACTTATGACCAGTGCCCGTTAGTCTGGTAGATACTTTCCCCTACATTCATAAAGTAGACCAAAGAGCCATAGGGGCATCACTCATAAGAACTTGCATTTCAAAATACTCCTTTGCAGAGAAAGAACCCAGGGTGCTGAGAGGAGAGACTGCTCCAGGTCCAGAGCTCTGTATGGAAAGATGTGGCTGCGCAAAACTACAAATACAGCAAACTGTGAGGGGGGTGGGGAGGCCAACACGCCACCCACCTTCACCTCCTTCTGGCAAACACGTTAAAGACCATCCATACCTGATCATAATTGTCGTGACCATGGAAGAATGGCTCCTTCCTGAAGATCATGCTGGCCAGCATGCATCCAAGGCTCCACATATCCAGGCTGTAGTCATACATCTGCAGACAGGACAAAAGGGGTTAGTGGCTTGAGCGGGCCTATGTTAACATAAAGGAAATTAAATGGAAATATGCCCTCACCTGGTAGTCTACCAGCAGTTCAGGTCCTTTGAAGTACCTGGATGCCACTCTCACGTTGTACTCCTGGTTCGGGTGGTAGAACTCCGCCAAACCCCAGTCGATGAGACGGAGCTGAAAGGACAAGGCTGGTTAGATTTCGTGGGTTGCAATGGGACGGGGTCACAGCTTGTGTGAAAGCGCTCAGTGTCTAACACCATACCTTTCTGTGTTCATGATCAATCATTACATTGTGTGGCTTGACATCTCTGTGCATTATCCCCATACTGTGGCAGTAGTCCAGAGCCTGTTGGTTAAAAGGGAGAAACAAGGCCATTCATTAGCTTTTTTTTTTTGGGTGCAACTTTTGGATGATTTTAAACTGCTCATTAATCTCTTTTACCTTTAAGATTTCATACATGTAGAACCGTATGTCAAAATCTGACAGAGTCTGATACAATTGCTGTAAAAAATTAAAAAAAGGAATACACATTATTTCTATGAACAGATTAAAAAAACTGTAAGTGAAAACAGTAAATAACTGATTGTCACCTTGAAGTCTGTGTTGTTCACATGTTCGAAGACCAGAGCTGGGGTTCGGGACTAAGAAGAGGGAGAGGAGGAAAAAAAAAAAAAAGAAAAAAAAAATGATGTGAGGACTGGTTTAGGGTTGAAACTTGTACAGTGGACTGAACAAAAAAAGAAAAACTTGACATTACCACAGGATCCTTGACGATATCTAACAGTGAGATGATATTAGGGCCACCCCTCAGATTCTCCAGGATCTTTATTTCTCTCTTGATTTTCTTTTTCTTGACGGGCTGTGAATGGAGACAGTCCAGTGAGTCCCATCAGATCACATAGTAAGACACAAGTACCATCTTTTGAATGAAGAGATCTTTTGATTTTTAAGAAGTTCTTTTTCTATTGATAATTTACATACCTTCAGTATTTTGACGACCACCTTTTCATTGTTTGTGATGTTTATGGCTTCAAACACTTCACTATATTTGCCTCTTCCTAGTTTTCTGACGAGCTGATAGTCATCTTGGTTCCTGAATGAATAAAACAAAAAAGAAAGAGTTAGCACACAATTCTGACATGGTTAACGCAACAAAATAAAAAAAAATGCATTTTTAAAAAAGCTCAAACAATTCTTTTTTTCCTTACCCCCATTCAACAACATGGGATTCATAGTCCCAGTACTCTCGAGGTCTCTGTGTGTTTACATCAGGGTAAACTCGAGAGCGGCTTGGGACAGGGCCAGACATATTCTGCACAGGGTAGTCTCTAAATTTCCTACAACATGGCAACCGAAGGAAATGCAAAAAAAAACATAAGTTACAAAAAAACATACAGCCCAGTTTGAAAAAAAACACCGAACATGTTGGCCAGGGAATGACTCTTTTAGGGTATCAGTTCAACACATCTGCATAACTGAAAATCTTTGCAGCCAACATTTAATGTAAAGTAATTGTTTTAGAGAAGCACAATACCTGGGAGTCTTTCTCCAGGACAATGGTGACAAATAATGTGACAGGAGTGGCTGCGATGCCTCTATGATACGAAAGCTAAACAGAAAAATAAAAAAATGAAGAAACATATTAACACGATAACACTTTTAAGAGTTGACAGCAGAGTGATAAAAATAAAAAGATTAAGATATTTTGCATTGACAGCAAATAAACTACTACAAATAAATGAACAGCATTTTTTGAATTTGAAATGATCACAATACTATTTAATCTTTAAGTAAAAGACAAAGAAAATAACATGCACACAATTGACTAAATAAAACTAAACTCAAGACAAACTAAACAATTGGTGCATAGTGTGTTTGCATATGACGACGTATGAAATGGAGAAACCTTGATGTTAAAAAGGGGCATCCAACCAGTCTAATCAGGAGGTACAGGGTTCAGTAAAGTCATCACTGGGGGCTACAACAAGTACCTCCTGTTGAAAAAGGGCAGAAAGTAGGTTGATTAAGATCAATCGAATCAATCAGGCAAACATTAGCAAAGTGTGTGAGCCACCGCACGCCATCCAATAAAGCTAATGCTAGTGAGGTTGTTTTAAATAAATACAGCCATGGGAAGCATTCCATAGATAAAATGGTCTCTCTAGGAAATGACGGTCGATCCATTTGAAAGCTGTTTGCCCGCTTGATACTTTGATTAAAAATAAGGGTACGCACAAACCCACTGTGGCCCACGGCCTACACCGGGGCGAGCAGCTAGCTAGCAGGCAAACCGGGAAGCTGAGGGGGATGCTAACAGGCTAGCATTAGCTCGTGAATAGCAGAGTGAAAAGCCGGCTGCAAAGTCACAACTAGCTCTCGACTCCGCCACGAGACGGTAACTCCATTAAATACACAGTAATGTCCAAATACTAAAATGAGCACACAAGGGTTCAATATGTACGTAAAAACTACAAGCCTAGCTTCGAATATACATATATATTTTCTAAAGCTAAAAAGTGCTACGCTAGCAAGCTAAGGGAGTGAATAGGCTGGTTGCTGGCGAGGCAACTGGCTGACAACGCCTTAAAAAAACATCCTACAAACACCGTGGTCGAGCCGGAAAATGATCCATCGGCTAGGTAACATATTCTCAGGTTTTCTTCATACGTGAAACAGCCGGCACTAGTGCTGGAACAACGACGATTTGGGATTAAATAACGCGATTACCTCTCAGCGTTGTTGGGACGTCAATATGGCGATGCTTGAGATCAAGAGCTTAACGCGAACAGCCTCTCCAGCAGAGGGCGCGCTCTCTTTTTTCTTTTTTTCACGGGGAGCTTGGAGCTTCCACTGCCACCAACAGGTCTGTCTGAAACCAAAACTTTTTATTTTTTTTTTATTTTGCAGACTTTTATGCGCAATCTCTGTTTTTAAGTCAGTGGCGTTGTTGAGAGTGCAAAAGTTCCGGCTTTTTTCCCCTAAAGCTGGTCCGCCAAAACGATAACACGCAACGTAAAAGGAAGACTCAGGTGGACATATCATGAAAATGAGCCGCATAACATCAAGGTGTGGTGGTGTAAAATCAGAGCCTGGTCGTCCGAAAAGTCCATCCAAAATGTCAGTTGTTAAAAAGAATTGGATAATGAAATGGAAGTGAGGCACGTTAGTATGACCGGAGAGGAAACAGCCCCACTTGTTTACAGTTTTGCAGCCTAAACATGTTTCAGGATGTAGCAGACCTACTTCGAAAACATTTTGGACATTGTAAAATAAATAAATAAAAAGAATTTCACAATTTTCTTTGTTTTGGATTAATTTAAGCGACACACTTTGGAAAAAGCAACAACACGTACAGTGGTTGATAAACACAGAAACATGGAAAAACAAACACCAAAATAAAATATTTTTATATATTTTTTTATTTCTGTACAAACTATGGCTCAGCTTTTTTTGACGTGGGTCTGTATCGAGTCAAAACTAAATGTATTACATTGAGTGTATAACACTTGTCTCTTGCAGTAAACTAAATTAAAATATGCTTTTAAATATGATCTGAATCAGTGCCTTCTATTTTAATCTATACTTGGATCCTTTAAAAAAAAAAAAACAGTTCTTCAAAGGGCCGACAATTGATAAATGGACAAAGGAGGGATAATTATTGCTTCAGTTAAGTCCACTTTAACCATAGGAAGGGTCAACGTAACCTGCTACCCATAATCATCCTAAAAGAGAGGGTCAGACCAGCAGCTTTGGTGAGTCTGAATGTTGAAAATAGCCGAACTGAAATGAATTGGCCTTTGTAAACTGACCAGAAAATAGTAATTTTGTTACTCCTTGACACACAAGTCACACATTGTTCAACACATAGGCACATTTGACTAAAACACAAAGCCTTTGACTCAAACTTGGGCAGATGGCCTGTCAGACTATAATTAACTGGAGCAGGAATCTGATGTGGCTGTACATAAAAGCCCATCACCCTTTCGGACAAGCAGTGGACACAGCCGGGCATCTGCAGTCCTGAACTCAGTTATAGCTGCAACATGAACTGTTACAAAATGATTTTTTGTTCCAGCTTAGCATTTTGTTTGCTGCTGTTTCCATTTGCCGGTGCAGAGGAGCCAGTCAAAGGTAAAAAAACAAAAAACAAAACCCAAATAACTGTGAAGAACAGATTTAAAATTGTTAATAGATCTTTTCTTCATCTTTCCTAGCCCCAAGACAGAATGTGTTAAGTTTTCTAAACGGTGAGATTTCTAATGATTTGTGATAAGGATTGCATTATTTAAAGTTGTTTTTATTGGTTGAAAAATGATTTGTTTTAAATGGTCACATATTTTGGTAATCTCTGTTGGTACAGATGCATTTTCGAGAACTACCCAAGAGACCATACTTGCAAAAGTCACAGGTCAGTAACTACAAATAATTTTACACTGGAAAGTGAAGCTATGTTTCACATCCTAAATCGTTTTTAGTTCCCCATGGATACAAACACAAGACATACTTATAAAATGAGAACAGAAACATACAAATGTCAATATAGTATTTTACCATTCATCTTAACCTTCCAAAAAAACTGAACTGTATTGAAGTAGATTGAATTCAATAAAATTAAATAATCTGTAAAATAATATCAGATTGCTGTAGTTTTTATTGTTACTAAAATATGTTTTTACCACAGAAAGGTAGCCAAAAAAAAGATATCATCAGTTGATAAACATGTGGATGGCTTGCGGGTAGGCTTGAGAAAAGTGTGCCAGAAACCATCAGTGCTCAGTTTGTCTGAGCTTATGCGGCTCATACTAACCGAAATTCAAATCTGAAAGTTCTGTGATCTTTAATCACCCTCTTTCATATGCCATCTCTCTGTTTCTGTAGCTGTGTCTTGATTAAGAAAATGATAAGAAATTGCCATCTTGATATTTCTGAAATGTCTTTATCAGGAGTTCAATTCTTTTTTTTGTTTTTCACACCTTTGTGATCATTAAAGGGTAAAAACGGTTTAACTGTATCATCTTTTTCTTCATTTGGTTCCTGCTCTGCACTCTTGATGTCTTCTCTTGATTGGACGCCTAGTTTTTCAGAATTCTTGGGCTTTACAAAGCTCAGGTAATTTTCAGTTCCTGTTGTCGTGGATGAGGAACAGGGTTTTTTTTTACTTACCAGCAGAAATCCTCCGACCAGCACAGCATTCAAAGCAGGGCAGAAAAAGATGTGTCAGAAATCTGGGTTTTTGCAACAAAAAAATCTCAGTGGTAAATCAAACACAGACACGGCTTCCTGCCTGTAGAATGGCACCATTTTTTATTTCCTATCACTCATGGTCAACATGAACTAGCTGCCTAAACCATTCCAGTGCTTACTGTTAGTGTTTCTCATGTTTGCAGCCCACAGCAACACTCCAAAAGCAGTAAAAGAACAAGACTCTGAAGGTACACTCTTGCTTGATAATGACAAAGATAAGAAAACTCATTTGTGTGTGTATTCCTTCTGACTAAATAACCCATCTCTTTGATTTAGAAATGCTATTTCATTTTTAATTGCACATGTGACCTCTGAAAAAATACAGATTCTGTTTTGACTGACCAAATTTCTACATTCACAGATCTGTCTGAGGAAAAATCCACAGAAAGTTTGGACACGAGTGAAGTTTCAGGTATGTGTGATTTATGTCTCAAACACATTTAGTAGAACTATTTGGTTTGATTAGATTGAAAGAGACATATGTCTTCATTTTCCTGAGCCTCAGTTTGTTTAGTTTGTTCTTAACTACATTTAGGATAAAAGCAGAGTTGCAGTTACATAGGTCTTAATTTGGACTTTGTGAGGGTAAGTTGGTAAAAGTTCACATTGATGCACTTGTTAACGTCAACAGCTGTCACCCTTCCCAGATGCATTCGAGGACCTTGAGAGCATTGAGGCTGTGGTTTGTGAAGCTAAAGCGCTGCCGTCAACGAGGACAGCTGAAATGGACGAAGACCAAACCCTGTTGCTGGGTGGGACCATCAACCATGATCAGCAGTCTGATCAGAAAGATGAAGGAGGAAAGGGGATGAAACCTGATATTGACAGTCACACCACACATCTGCGAAGAGAAGCCGCACCAGGAAGAGTCGAAGGGATGAATGACAGGATGTACAGAAACAGAGAGACGCTGGATCAGGAGAGTCTGGAAGACAGGAGCAGCAGACTGGCTGCAGTAGGCAACAGTAATCCGGCAGACTATGGCGGTAAGGCTGACTTCTGTATAATATGAGGCCAAACGAACTCTATAGCAAGAGTAACGTTTACGGTGAACAGCCAAGTTGTGCAACTGATATTCAATATTCCCTACAGAAAGCGGAGAATTGACCAATTCTGAAATGAATCCATTTGGTGAGAACAGATTTATCTTCCTCAAGTGAATATTAAAGATACAGAAACGAATCAACTGTGTACAAAGCTCTCCACAAAGATTTTAATCCTTTTCTTATTTGTGCTTTAACCCCCACAGAGCCCAGAAGCTTCTCCGCTCCAGCCAACCTCCGAGCGGCCTGATCGTCACACGTGAGGTCTGTTTCCTCTGCGATTGAATCTCACAGTGTTTTCTGCACATATCACCAGCCACTCGGCCTGCTTTAAGATCCTAGATCATGATTCATGGTGTGTCAAGCCAAACTGAGGACTGTGAATATGAAAGAACTTCCTACAACTAGCTTTTTCCTTCACCGCTTCTGATTTTTATATTTCCCTGTTTTTATTTTCCAGATCATTCGTTCCTCAAAATAAGTCAGAAGACTGCCGTTGACTCATCAGAGGCAGACAAGTTGATTCCACATAAAGTTGCGATGAAAATTGTGCCGTGCGAAAAAAATCGCATTTCAAAACCATAAAATACTGTGATGACCATGACCTCAATCTGTCAGAGCCTGAAATGTGGTTTATAGATATAGTTTAATTACATATTAGTTAAATACAAATATTACAATTCAAGACAGCTTGAGATTGACAAAAACAAGAATATGATGCAGTGCATATAACATTCATCCAACTACCCTTTATATGATACATATTTTACATGTGTAATATTTGTATGAACAATGCATATTATTACTTACAATTTGGCTGGACTATATGTTGTGATGCAAAGTGAGGATTATTTAGCATAATCTGCTTGTGAAAGGTATATTTTCCCAGTGTCATTTCCTAAAGTGATGAAGCTCACTGTACACATCCGATTGGACTCCATGTAACTCCTAAAAAAGAAATCAAAACAGTCCATCATTTCAGCACATTGTTTCTAAAGTTGACTTATTTTTCAGACTTTACAGCTCAATACCTGGTAGGGAGACTCAGTGATTTCTCTTGCCATTTTCTTTGAAACCGATGAGCTCAGATTTCTTTTACCTGTTTATGTTTGGAACATAGCTATGTTACTGCCCAATGGCCGGTCCACCACTTAGCACACACGCAAATGAGCAGAATTGTTTATCCTCACCATCGTGAGACTCCAGTTCCCTTCTCCTCTTATGGTGAGTTGCAAAACAGAACACAGAGATAACGATGAAGATGGTCAAAACGATATCAGAGGCAAGGATTGCCATGACAGACCCCATGCTCATCAGGTAGCAGGAGTCACATTCTACGACAAAAGAAAAGACAAATACAACATATTAAACAAAACAAAACAAAGATATTGTGTCCCAGCATCCCACTTAGGCAAAAGGTAAAGGCTGTATTATTACCTTGCTGTTCTTTTGAACCTGAAAGACAAACAGTTATATAAGTACATTGATATAAATATCAGGGAGCAAAAATTATCATCAACTACTGTTTCTTTGTTATAATTCTTTACAGTCAACGCATGTCTAACACTTACCAAAAAATGAACCTACGATACAAAGAGCGTCAGACATCTTGAAGCTGGTCTCACTTTGAAGTGGAAATGAAAGGGTGCTGCGGAAGGCCACCGGTCCTTCTGCTCTCTTTGAAACGACTGCGTAAACAAGAAACTGGAAACCTAAGGCGGGATGGTTTACAGACGTGTGTCCACAGGCAAAACATTCAGCAATATGGAGGTTTGTGAACATATCGACTGTGAATGTGATGAGAGGAGGAGCTAGAGAAAAAAAAATGCCCCTGTGATAATGGGAAGTTGGTGGGTTTGTTTAGTCTCTTTTTAAAAGACCTGCTCAAGAGAGGGTCGGTGGTATCACCAGAGATGAACATCTCTCATTCTGAATATTTAGTACTCTGGTTTTTGGGAATGTGGGTATGTGCTTGTTAATTTCTTCTTCTTAAAAAAAGTGTTTTAGAAAAGCGTCACATTCTTCAGACCCACTGTTCCTGCTGAAGCGCAAATGATAGCATCTCTAAAAAGAGCATTTCCTCATGACCTGTGGTCTGGTGCAGAAGGCAGGCTATTTTCACAGCAGCCTAGGCTGAAAGGCTCTAACCACAGGTTTATTCTGAAGTGAAGTTGTTCGGCCCACAAAGTGAAAGTAGTCCTCACTCATTTTGTAAAGGGGTCATCAATGTTTCATAGGTAAATGAAGCCGGCACGCAGCCGACCAGACAACACAGAAATCATATCTATGCATCCAGTTTCTTCTGTTTTTACAAATATTGATCTCTAACTTCAGATTGGACATATGTATATAAAAGCTGCATATGAAATCGTGAGGGAAACTGAGATTATCAACTCTAACAAAGATGACTTTATAATCCACAGTAAAGAACTAAGATGGTGAAAAAACACATAAATACCTGAAACACAAATGTCTTGCAAAAGTCCTAATATTTTTTTAAAACTTCCAACACTTGATTCTGATGTCTTGATAAATGTTTTTCCTCAAAAACGTGCAACAGTTACACAGAATTAGTTTTAACGGGAGACCATGGGTGACAATCCCCATTTTAGGTATAAAATAAGTGAGCTATTTAAAAAAAAAGGGAAATATGAAACTCTAAAAATGTTATATTGTGGTATTTTCCACGGGTTAGTGTTGAGAAAAGGCTAAGCACAGTGAACGCCTGGAGGATATGGGCCAGACAGATAGTACAGACATAAAATCAAGAAAAGGGTCTCAGTCAGCATGTTTTGTGTGTTTGAAAAAGCAGTTTAAAACACAACAAAGCATCAACACACAACAGGACTCAGTATCATATGAAATCTGGTATCACTGTAGAATGCTGAAGTCTCACTTTTCACACAACGGGGATTTTAATAAAAATGAAACTTAAAAAATAGAACTATTTGATAATCAAACAAGCATGGAAAACCACCATTGACACACATACAGCTTGTGAACAAGAATGATTTTCATATATTTTGGAAAACACAAATACAACTGCTTGTGGCATAATTTCACTGAGTATAAGATCAACTTCAATATCCAATAACAACATGATTCAGCTGGAGATGAAGCGGAATGTAAGCTGAATTTTTGCTTTGCTCTTATTCTAGGAGACAGATCAAAGCATCAAATTCTCTCATAGGTTTTACATAGGAGTCCATTCCAGTGGGACATTCCACTAGTGGATCTCAAGTGCGCAGATGTTAGGATCTATGGGAGCTGGATCCTGAAATGAAAAGGACAAGGTCTCTTGAGATCGGTCTCATAGAGCATTGCCTGCCGGAGCAAACACAAAAGACTGAAAGAAGGGATTCACAAATATAACAGTATCCATATTATCCTTTAAATAATATTTTAATATGACTTTTGACAGATACAGTTACAGGCACAAAGTTTTGCTTTTATCATTGGTAGAATTTACATATATTTCACAGTAGAGATTTTCAACTGGAACTTTCTGGTGTTCCCACTTGGGGCCTTTTATATCCCCCCCAGCACTGATTCCTTTTACATGTAAATAAAGCACAGAATTTCTGAATAAATTTAACAAACAAAGAAAACATAAAAACTCTCTAAAGACACAAATACAGGCATATTTCAATCATGTGCAAAAGCTAAAGTCAAAATTAATCGGCAGACCATTTGAAGACTTTGTTGAATAAGCATACATAAATTTAAAACTAAAATGTTTGAGCTCTTGATCTTTGTCAGTTCCTTATAGCCCTCTTTATCAATAGCATTATATATGTATATATATATATATATATATATATATATATATTAGCTTTGCAGAGTAGGTGGTGAACAGCGCTTGGGAACTTTTACAAATGAAAATATGTAAATGCTGCTGTGCTGCAAAACTTTTTTTTTTGTCTTTGTCATGTGTTACATTTTGTTTTGAATGTAACGATCAAAAGAAAGTGGAGAACGGTTCTATGTACTCTTCAAGTTGGCACGGACATTCATGTACACTTTTTCAGCTGTGAAGAGATAAAAAGTAGAGAAATCAGTACTTGGAAATAAGTCCAATACTTGCTTAAAAGGCTCGGACAGTTATAACAAACTGAGGAGAATACCAGTATCTAGGAAATCTAAAAAAATGTACAGACTATAATATATGAATTATATATGAATATGTGACTGTGTATTTTTCAAATACAGACCCAGTTTGATAGCAAAACTATGAAGACTAGGGTCCCCAGGGTCACATAAAATACACAATATTGTTAAAAGATTTAGATATTCTAGGGAAACCTCAGTGTGTAAAGGACAGGCTAAAAAGCACTGTCAGATTCACATTCATACGAGTTGATATCAGTTTAACTCTTTCACATATGCATGACAGCCAATGTGTTCTTCAAGCACAAGCGTGTGGATGGAAAGAAAGTGGGCACACAGTCTCTCATCTAAAGACAGATGTCTGTCTCTGTATGACTGAGACAAAACATCATCCAGACTACGGCACAAAGTGAGAACATCCGTTTGCACTGTTGACTTGAATAGATATGTGTTTAATAAATGTCCATTTGTATTTATGCAGACTGTGCCAGACAAAATGCTGGTTGGCTCACAGCACCGCGGTTCCATAGACTCATGGTTCTTATGACTGGCTGTTCCGGTTGTTTTTTGTTGAAAATGTTTGCCTCATCTTTAAGAGGAGAAATAGGAAACTACAGTTTTACAAACAACAACCATAACCTGCACCGAACAGCGAAAAATCTTGTTTATAAAATAATAAAAGAAATAAAGAAATCATGTCTTAGAAAGGAAGCAAAAAGCAGAGAACCAGGGAACCAGAGAAAAATCGGACTCATGTCAGGCCCGTGATTTACCGTTATCGATTTTCAGACGTCGTGATCTGGCACACCGGTAGGTGACGATCACGATAACGAGGGTCAGAACAACATCTGCACAGATGATCCCTGCCATTGCCCCCGCTTCAATTCTGTAGCAGGTCACAGTGCCGTCTGGGGAATCCACATGAAGAGGCAGGCGGCAAGTGAAACAGCAAAGTGACAAACATGAAGTGGGATGCAAGATGAAAGACACAAATCAGTGGAAAGAACTACTCATCCGGACTGAAGTTTTGTGGTTCTGCATTACTGTTGCTGAGTTTTTGAAAAAAACAATTGGGACGTTAAAATGCTGTTGTTTGTCGTAGGCCACATACCTGCCAGTGTCACAGACAGGTCTAAGAAGAGAGGAAACAAAGAAGAAAATCAACATTTCACACTTTTTGCCGTGCTGCTTTACAGCAGTACCTCTGCTTGCAAAATTTCCGTTGTGCAGAACGTTTGTGGTTTGTTAACTTTCCTGTTTAAGACCACCTAAATGTTGAGTGTAAACGGTTTAAAAAGGCTGGGTGCTGTGAAATAATACTCACTGGACAGAAAAATCAAGACAGCAACGGTGAGCGTGTGATATGCCATCGCTCTGTTCGTCAAAGTGATTCTGTTTGCTCTGAAACAGTGAAGACAAAAAACTGTGCCTCGTGTACAATCCTCTAATCTTTGGAAAAGTATTTAAAAAGCATACAGAAGTCAATGTTTGGTTGGTATTTCTATACATTTTATCATACCCTATGTCACAATGAACAAAAACATTATTACTACTGGCTCTTCCATCAAGCGACTCGTACATGTGGGCATTCAGAGGAAAAAAGAAAGGGCAAGAAAATCTAAGTGGAAAATCTAAATTACACAATTTTGCCTTTTAGAACAAATTAATTTTAATTCGTCTTTAAAAAGAAAGTGTACACGTTCATTCTGATTATTTTGAATTAGTTATTAATAATACACCCAATGCTCCCATTGAATCTTTAACTCAAGCAGCATTTAGAAAGTTAAAGAGTTTTAAGATTCAGGATAATTCTGAAGAAAGATCCTCATACCTGCTCTTCTGGGGTTCATCTGCCTTCTGCCGTCAAGAAGACAAGCGTTTTCACTTTTGAGAGGTGGCGGCAAGACTTCCCCTGCTGGCTGATTTACAGGATGGTTTGACAATGCATTACCTGTCCTTCCAAATGTCCAAAAGACTGCTTAGCTTTCTATACAAATAATTATCTTAAATGTTCATGTGGGGAAACATATCTCTGAAAACAAATGACATAATTACCTCCCTGTCCTACAAGAATACCAAAAGTCATTGAATGCAGCCAGTAACCCACATCTCTTTAAAAGGACAGAGGCAGTTTCCCACCAACATTCGTATACCAAACCCCTGGGGTTACAGTTTTCACCTCCAGTTAATGAGGTGAAAAGTGAAGTAGAAGTCCTTTAAGCCGATACAGTTCATAACTGAAATGTGAAATTCCACCACTGATATGATGGAGTTCAAAATCTCCCATGATGCTTTATTTCCCTGGTGTATATTCCTGATCTGATTTGTATAAGCAATGTGGTTTGCATTTAAACTCTTCCCATGTCTGCGGAACCATAAAAAGACAAACTAAAAAAAATAAACAAAGTGAAATGCACTAGTTCTGACAGCAGAGGGAGCTGCAGAACTTCTTATCACAGGGACAAGAACCGTAGATGGAGTTTGGTGGGTGTCCTGCGGTTTGTTGATTCAGTAATTAAAAACTATGCTCATTATGTTTATTACCAATATCTAGATTAAGTTTTAGAAAGTGAAAAGTAGTTCTTGATGAATATACCCTAGAATTTTTTGCCTTGCCTTTATTAAAAAAGACATACCAAACGTGCATTCACCCTGATTTAGATATGACATTAGAACATGGGCCCAAGTCTATAAAAAAAGGGGAATTTTGTTTAAAATTCTAATTAGTTTAAGAATGGTGAAACTTTGAAAACCTAATTGCCGAAAGAGTCAGATTTAAAGCACTTCATTATTGTGGATGGCTTCTGAGACAAATGGAAAGACAGAAATTGTTCTCAGTGTGATCAAGTGCCACTCATGGTCTGTTACTGAGAGTGGCATTCACAAAAAGAGCCTGGAAAGAGTCAGGCACAGTATATACAGAGAGAGCCTAGGCAGCTACCAGAGATTTAGAAAGCATTCAGAAGGGAACCCTTGAGAAGTAAAACTGTGGTGACCTATATGAATGACCTATATGATCCCACTCAGGACTGAGACTTAACTATGTTGAAGTCAGGCCCTGACAGGATACACAGATACTGACTTTAAGAAGAAATGGGCATTTAGAAACACAGGGCAGCACAAATGAATCAACTGCTAGTGGGTTCCAGACTGGATAACTCGTGGAAGACCCAGAGAAAGGTGTGGTTCCATCCATCTACTGACCATTAACCCACCTCTGTACTGAACACTGACCACTGATAAAGGCCGGCAACGACTCAGACTGAAACACCGATAACAGAGTCGGTACATCACTTGATACACAATTAACATCCAAGAGCTAACTACCATCTATGAAGTGACAAACTAGTATTTTAAGACTGTCCGACTGTAGTCTACAACTAGAAGGATACTGGATAGCTTAAGGCTTTGTAACATCAACTGAACATTCAGAGAATTTACCAAGAACTCGTTGGTACTGTGGTAGATGAGTCTCAAAGGTTGTATACTAGGACTGAACCAAGCATTGATTATTCACCTCAACAGGATGCAGAACAAAGACATTGTGTTGTCTCTTTAACAAAGCAGCCAAATTTTGCCAAAACAAATTGCCAGAGAGCACCATAGTAGACCCTAAGAACAGCAGTACATATCGTGTTTGGATTGATTCAGGACAAAATATTATTTTACCCCTAGTTAGTTCTGTTTAACGGGAATGGTTTTCTTATCCAATTTTCTTTAGTTTACATTCTTTTATTTATAATAATGCTTTTTTTTTTAGCAGTTTGCTTTATTGTAATTCACGTTCCTCGAAACAAAAATATGACTCATTATGATTAATTTCTGTTCGAATCTAAAATAAGCTCAAAATTAAATCAAAAACAGTTTTCGAGTAATTTTCATTTAATTGATCACTTATGGATGTCTTAAAAAACATCCTGGAATATTACACATGAACAATATTGTGAAATACAGTATTTGAATAGGCATAATCTAAATGTAAATTCTACAAACACACACACATAGTTGACAGTTTAGGGATGTGAATTGTGCTTCACTTGATTTCACAGTGATCAACTTTTTTTCAGATATCAGATTAGATATTAGACATAAAGGTGTGCTTTGCTCATCATAATTGATATTTAAGCTCAGATTCAGCCCTGCCACGCGTCATTATTTGTCCGCACGCGTTTTCTCTGTTGCATCACTACTATTCCCCGTCGCCTGCCTCCGCGAAGGCGGAGCTGAGGGCGGGGACTACTTTCAACGTGTTGATCATCAAAAAGTCAGACACGCCGAAGCCCTTTTGACAGCCAGAGGTGACTCCGACTCCGTGAATATCCTTCGCAACAGGCTGCTGACCGTGTGGACGATCCGCCGAAGTCCTCAGAGCTCAACCGTTTCTGACATGCACTTTGATAAATGTGAGTACGCCTGCCTTTTTCTCACGTCGCCATGACAACAGTTCAAGCTCCGTGTGCCGTCAGACGAGCGAAATGAATCAGGTCCAGCTGTTTTAGCAAATGTAACAACTGTTGCTTTAAGTTTGTAGTAGAAAATAAAAACAACACCTTTGTAATGGCCATCAGTTTCGTGCTTTACTGCTGAACACGTAGGACTTAAATCGACTGGAGTGTTTTTAACTGGAAACCGATTTGAAGTTTACTCTCAGATGTGACATATCTTATCAATGTGTATGTATATTTCATCGTAATTCATCTAATCAAATTTCCTTGGATTTTGTTTGGACTTTTGTTTGGGCTGCAGTTTGTTAAACGTGATTTCAATAGGTGTGCAGAGCTGTCCAGCCATTAGGGGGTCATGTATTTAAGTATACTTTAACCAATCATTGGGTCATTTTAGTGAGACATTCAGTGTATGACATCACAATTTTGGTGAATCCAAGACTCAAGACTTGTATTGGGGAAACCCTGATGCAGCTCCACCCTTGCTTAATGTTTTCAGTTCCCGTTTTTAATCTAATGCCAGACAAGCAAGTTATGTGTACGTCACAGTGTAACTTTGCTTTGATTGACTTTCTTTTTTCATGCTTTCTGCCGAGCTTGCCCAAATGATCACATACAAGTTTTTTTTTTTGCACGCAGAAGGTCTGTTAAACCACCAAATGAGGAAACTAGTTATGCACTGCTTCTTTCTGTCTTTGTGGCGGGATCCAAAAGAGAAACATCGTCGGAATCCCCAGCCACCCACGCACATGACTCAATGTCCAGGGGTTTCCACAAGCCCTATTTGAATGTAACATAGGCTGGCCCAAAGCAAAGCGACAGACATTGGTGGTAACCCACACTGCCTGGGTTCTCTCTCGAACAGACTTTTAAAAGCCATCTCCTTGCTTCCTGTTTCTCTCAGGCAGTGTGTTGTACGACAATATGAAGGGTGGGGAAACTGAGAAGAGCAGTTGTAGCATTACTTCATCTTTGTGAATGTCAAGGGTCGCAGTTTGTTGGAAAGATCAAATGAGTCAGGAATAAGTGCTCTATAGTAACACCTTTGAACCCTGAAAATGAAACTTTGTCTGACTGAAAAGGACTGATTAATTTACCAAATTCTGTTTTAGTGACCTTTTGTTCTTTCTAAGGAGCACAGAGTATGACACAGATCAGTACGAGGGTTTTTTGTCCCACCTTTACAGGTGGGAATGAAATATTTATTTGTGAGAAAAGACAGCACTTGGCTAACAGACAGAATCTAAATGGGCAAATTTGTGGTCTCATATGTTGTCATTGGTTGAATTTGCATTTTTTTTCTTCCGGAAGTACTCTCTCTTTCACTCTGTGTTTGCTGTAGAGAACAGAGTTTTCTTGTCCTCCACGGCTTTTCACAATTGTTAATATTCAAAACGCAAAAAAAAGAAGTCGTAACCAGAAGTAACAGAACCATTATTTTGCCTCTCTGCCCCGCAGACATTTAGGTGGGGAGAAAAAAAGAAGCAACTACATGTGTTGTAGAACTGTGCCTGTGACAAAGGCAGGAAGACGTGGTTAGTTTTCTGTAGCGTAATGGAGCGGGACGGAAGGTGTCATAGAAAATAAGTGGTGGCAATCCCATGCTGCAGGTTTTCTGATAAATGTCTGGTTTGTATGGCTGTGATCTGTGTTCCTAATGGAGGAGGTTTCACATGGGTTTAACTTTGTTCTTTGGTTCCACATTGAGGGTGGAAATACACAGTTTGCTTTATCTTTCACGTGTGGGGAGATGTTTTTTAAGGAAATAACCTGTGTGGTCACATAGTGTCTGATGGAAAAATCTGAATTCTGTTTTGTAACATAGTTTTCCTGTTTTTCTCTTTTCCTTTACCTGTTCAGTGGAAATGATACTTAGAATAAGAAAGGGAAAACGTAGTCATAGCATAGAGGCTGTGTTTACTGCAGAATTTTAGCAAAAGGATGCTACCTTTGAGTAACTGAGCAGTGATATTTAAGTGAAAACACCTGTACTGCAGCTGCTTAGCTGAATTATGAAATCTTTTCTTTTTTTTATTAAGGGTTTCTGGGCTTACAATTTTCAGCAATTTGTAGTAATGGAATAAGCTACAGGGTTGTCTCACTGAGGCAAGAGAAAATCAAAATAGTTTACTTTGAACATATGTCAGCAACAAACACAAGATCATTCAAACACGGCCTACTGGTAAAGTTGCTCCAAGAAAAGAAAAAAACCTCCCATAGACTATTACATATCAAGATGTTTAGGCTTTGTAGCGATTAATTCAAACTGTTGTGTGGAGTAACAGGAGAAATGTGTCCTATTCATAAGTCTACAGGTTTCATTAAACTGGTGAGAGAGAAAGTATGTGAACCTTAATTAATTTAATTTGTCTCCAAAAAACTTTAATTGAACACCTCCATTGTAACAAACTTAATCTCTTAGAGGATGTACATTTCTCAAGACACACGTAGGTGTTTGAAAAAACCCAAACATTTAATCACGGGATCTGCAGGCTGTTCTTGAAAGAGTTGGTGTTAAAGTACAAGCGTGTATGGTCAGATAAAAGTCACACAAACATAAAGCAAGTGGGCAGAATGTCAGAACCAAACCTTTTGAGAGTGCATACGGCAGGCAGATGAATCAGGGATAAACTTGCCTGGTTACTCAAAGAAATGTCATGTTTGATGTAAACCAAGGAAAGCTTCTGAGAAGACTGTGAAGTGCCGTACTTTTCATTGAATAGTTTGGTTCTGCTATGAATAGTTATCAAAGAGCAAAAGCTCAAAGATTTTTCTGAAATCTTAAATTCATTTTTAAGTTGAATACGTAACTGATCCTCCGTACCAGCAAATCCACTGGGGACTGGTTCAGAGAGAACACATGCAGGGTCAAGGAACTGCCACATCAAAGCCCAGATTTAAATCCCATTGTGGCACTGAATATGCAGGGAATGCAAAAAGGACAACATATCACGCAAAAGTCAGTAGTCCGCTAACTTTAATTGTTCATCACATACCCAAAGTCCTATAGACATCATTTTTCCTTCGACAGCACCAAAAGAGAAGCCGTTTTGCACCCTGCCCACAGTGAAAAAACTTTTGGAGCAGAAGAGAAGACGTGAGACGTCAGCTGTGCCGACCCCCTGCTCCACTGCCAGCACAAGTCCTGTCCCTCCGTTTGCTGTACCAGTAAGCCAACACATCAAAGGGGGCCAGAAACCCAACAAATGCAATTACGAATATGTATTTGTATGAGATCTGTCCATGTTGGTTAATGGTTCCTCTGTTTCTGGTGCCTCTCTTAGGAGCAGTCGTCCTTAGAATCCTTTACCTGTACAGGTAAGAGCTTTATTTAAGGTCATGTTACCTTCATTCAATGGATAGCACAAACAAATCGAATAAGCTTGTATGTTAGAGTTGCATGTTTTACATTTTTTTGTAAAAATAAGTTTTAAAAAAGTTGCTTTGTGCATTGTGTATATGAAGCTAAAAAAACTAACTGGTGTGACTGTGCTAGGTGCAGCAAGCAGCTACTCAGACATGGCAGTGAGCTATGAGCCGTGGGCCCCAGCCCCTGAGTCAACCCTCAGTTACTACACCAGCCACCCAGGACCCAGCTATGCACCCTACAACCTCCCTATCACTCCTGACTACAGCTCACCGCAGCAGGTTTCAGGATTTGTAGACACAATGCCTCAGTCATATGTAAGTGAGAGGTTTTCGCCTTAAGGCTTTCTTCTGACATACTAATAATTATGATTATTAGTATATAGTTGTAGTTAATTCATTATGTACGTTATCTGTTAGTTTGTTAAGCTGCCTTTATAGCTGTCTTAAACGGAACTCCTCCCCTCAGGAGTGCCCAGTGGCAGTTGCAGATCTGGGTCTGGCTTCGTCTTGGTCACTCGGAGGTCCTAGTCAGAACACACAGCTGATGTTTGGAAATTCCATGGATGCCACAAAGTTGGATGAGGCAAGGATGCTGCTCAACAGGATGGATTACAGCAGAACCACCTGTCAGGATGAAGACGGAGACACGTGAGTGGCTGCATTAAATCAGACCAAGAGCAAGAACTGGCTAACGTGGCCCATTTCTATTTTCTGGGATTTACCACTTGCCTTCTCGATATTTAAGGATTTTTCTTTGCATGTTTGTGTCCCTTATCCTGCCTTTCTCTTCGTCATTCACTTAATTACATCACAATGAAAAAAAAACAGTTGTCTACAGAATTGACCGTTATCTCAAACTGTGCCTCTTCTGGCTTCTCACCCTTCACTCTTTTCTCTTCTCTCTTAAACTCGTACTTTTGGCCTGACTGAATTGATTGAATGCAAATACACAAGTACACAGATACACATATTTACCTCCGCAGGGTTTCGTTTTCAGGCATTTGCTGAAAGTGAGAACCGTGCGTTGGTAATTTAGACTGATTAAGAAAAACCAAATGTGTCAGTGAGTCATCCACTCCTGCTGAATAATGACACAGTCTGATGAAAAAGTTGAACAGTCTAATGGGCCAGAATGAAATTTGTGTCAGGGATCAACGGGATTATCCTGAATTAATCATTTCCTTTTCTCTGTCAGCATCCTGCACATCTACACTGCCAAGGGACTTCGGGAGTGTGCCTTTGCTGCTGCTGAGAGGCTGAGGGACGTGGGGAGGCTCGATGCCAAAGAACACAAGGGGAAGGTAGCTACCTAAATGTGCACATCTTCAAACAAATACATATTCCTCTTTTTGGGATGTCTTTTTCTCTGTGTTAAATATCTGATTGAAATTCGTTTACTAAATGTGCCCTCACAGACCGCTTTACTGGTAGCCGTGACAGCAAACCATCCGGATATTGTGCAGGACCTTTTGTCATTAGGGGCCGAGATCAACGCCTGCGACGTTAAAGGACAAACTGCACTTCATCTGGCGGCTCACTATGGATTCCCTGCTGTTCTGCAGGTAGACCATCCTCTACTACCAACCTACTTTTGGCACTACTTTATCAAAAGTTCCTTAAAAAAAAATTCCCTGTTTTTTTTTCCTCAATGAAGGCAATTCTGTCAAGCAGACCATCTGTCAACCTGGAGGCCCGCAATTTTGAAGGTGCTTTTCAGTAGATTTACTTCTTACATCAACCGTTTGACTAACATTAAAAAATTTAACGTCTGTTTTCTCGGCCTCAGGCATGACTCCGCTGCACTGTGCAGCCATATCCCACAGTGTCACCATGAAAGCTTTGTCTACCATGGGGCCAGCAGATGTAAATCTAGAGACCAAAGCTGCTGAGAAGCTCTCGTGTGTACAGATGCTACTCAGTGCCGGGGCGTCCCTTCTCAGTCAGGTACAAGAGCTCAGTGGGTTGTTTGTAAAAAAAATAAGAAAGGTATTGAAAGTTCAATATACCAAATTGTGTGCTGACATTAAGAATGTACAGTTGATGGGGAAGTCATACGGCCATTCACGCCCCTTTGTGCTCTCTTTGTTTGCTTTGTTCTCAGTGATTATTAAATGTGAAACTTCGACTTGTGGTTTCATTGTATTCTTTGAATAATTTCCAATCCTCCAATTCCAGGAAATCAAAAGTAACAAGACTGTCCTGCACTTGGCTGTGAAGGAGGGGAATATCGATCTGGTGCACTATCTGCTGAGGATTCCCCTGCTGAACATGAAAGACTTTGTCAATATGAAAGTGAGTCCCACACTGACATGAAAGGCAGAAATGCCTTCTCTAAATAAGTTTGTATGTACAGCGTACTGCTGCTGCTCGGTACAACTGCTCTGACTGTAAACAGCCTGAGTCATGCCGCATTTGCACTCTGTGCCATAGGCTCACGGCCACACAGCCTTGCACATGGCGGCCGGTCTCCATGGTAACCCCCACCAGGAGCAGATCCTGCAGCTGCTGCTGAGCAGAGGGGCTGATCCCAGCATCCGCAACCTGGAGAACGACCAGCCTGCCCACCTGCTGCAGAGCGGCGCCCAGGGGGAGCAGGAATGCCCCCCCCCCCCCCCTCCGCGCTGAGTCTGACCGTCACCGTCCGACACCAGGGATTAACCATGGTCCTTTTATCTTTAAATTTGTAGCTGAAGCTCCTGCTGAAGAAACGAAGTGCGTCTTCGCGCCGACGTTTCGTCACCTCGCCAGACCAGGAATGACTGAAATCACTTGTAATCCCAATTTGAAGGGAATGAGACTTAAAGCTGCTTCCTCTGTTAAGAAAGGGATGTACTTTTAAATGTTATAAGGGTGTGGGAGTTTTTAGACTGGCATGTCAGTCTTTCACATGCTAAAATTAACTTAAACTCAATTCTTATTTAGTGGCACCTATAAAACTGATGATGTATGTATTTACGAAGGACCAACTGAATTATTAATCTGATGGTGTCACAAAATGAACAATTAATTGCTTTTTGAAAAAGTTCATATTTAACATTTTGAAATAGAAGAACAAAAAAAGATAAAGATAGTGGCAGAAAGTACAGATTCATCAATTATTCTCATGTTGTTGAGGCTGGAGTAATACCAATTCCCCTCATAGGCTTATCTCCCAAGATAACGTTGATTTCTATGAAATCGTGAAACTAAACTTTGGGACAATGTCCCTGAAACCCTTCTGACTATTAGATTAAAACCCCCTCGTGATCAGGTATCATAGTGATACTCTGAGTGATGGTTTTGATTTCTCTCATCATGCGTATTCTCATCTTATCGTCTTATGTTAAGAATCCATGTGTTTAAAATGACCTAAAACTTCAGTCTGTCTGTATGCATCATACGTATCTGTAACAGCACATGCTAACCTCTTAGGAAAAAGAAACTGTGTGCAGAATATTGTTTTGGATTATGACGAAGAATGTTATTTCTGATCAGAGGCATTGCACGAGTCAGTGTGATGACATATGGTCTGATTCACTGTACATTTAACTTATGAGTCATGAGTAAAAGTACATCAATAGCTGTTCCATCACAGTGTTTTGATGTCAAGGGTAACCTTTGAACAGTCCCATCTACACTTGAGCTAGACAGAAATTAACAGGACGGAAAATACGCCATCCATAAAAATGTGGCTTGCTGTAATTTAGAAGAGTACTTACTTTTACAGCCCATTTCCTCCTACCTTTACTGATATGACAAGAAGACATAACTGAATATGACATTACTTGTGTTCCTTGTGTGTCATCTTCACATTTGACTTGCTGTACATTCCCTTAGAGTTAAAAGAAAGCTCAGTCACCCAATACAATTGAATGTTTCGAATTTTCTTTTGAACCATTTCATACCTACATCAACTTTGAGTTTAAGTAAATCTTACCTCAGTCACAATTTAAGAAGTGGCTAACCTTTTAAAGGACAGACAATGTCAGACATAATGTTTCATAAATATAATGAGCTTTTTAAAAGCAGTTTGAGTCTTGAAAGCATTACACAGTGTTGACTTTAATTTTCATCATTGTGCTGCTTCAGTTTTGCATTTTACATGCGTATAATTTATTGAACTTCTTAAGCTATTTTCTTTTTCTTTGATTTAAATATAATTTTTGGATGAAACACCTGAAAATGTTTAATCAACACAAAGCAGAAAAAAATGTTGAATCAGGACATTTGTTACATTTGATCAATACATGCTGTTCTTGCAAAATGGACACATTTATAATCATGTGATCATGCTTTTGAATTTATTGTTTAACAGTAATAAATCATATTTGATATCCATTTTTCTTGCACTTGTCTTCACTGGTGGGAATATTTTTATTGAGCAGGATCAGAGGGAGATCAGGGATTATGATAAACTATTATGGAAAACCCTGTGTAGTAATCATCCAGATGGTAGAGGTACATTAGCCAAAGAGAAACTCCCACAAAACAGCGATCCCAGTGTCGATCCCGGGATGACTTCGGACCCCACTTTCAAGCATGTGCTACATTGTCTATACAGCTGGAGGAGGAACTGTAAAAACACAGGAAAATAATCAGCAAGACAAACAAATAGACAATATTTATTGTGGCTCAGTACAGTTCAGACCAGTAAACTTACCCTCTGTCTTTGGAATTGGGGTGCCAGAAGAGCTGGAACTGCATGAAAAAAGGAGGGAAAAAAGTCAACAATTGCATTCCTTTAAATTGAATTATACAGAATTACAATGTCTGAAAACTGTGGCAGCAACTTCAACTTGCATTGCATTTGACAATTGGTCAACTATGAGGGGTTTGAGATGGAAAAAAAACAAACAGTTGAAGCCACAGGGTTCTGATTTGGTGGTGCTTGAAAATTTCTGAACCCATTTGAACTTTCTGTATTTCTGCCGAACCATGACTGAAAACATGACGTTGTAAACTTAAGTCAAAATAACTTTACACATACACAACAGCTGATAATGGCTCATTTGTTCCCTCACTGTGACTTCCTGCTTAACTCTTCTAATTGGGTGACCTAAACATTTGCTTTAAAAATTGTTTTAACAGCCTGTGAATTTTAGCTGATCTTTTTCTTTAAGGCTAACTTAAAGGAAGCATATAATTGCCCTTATTTTACGCGGGCTTACCTAAATGTCCGTGACATACTCTTGGATTAGAATGACAGATATGTTTTTATGCCTGATGATCATCTTAGAGCTCACATAGGCTCAAATGTATGTGGGTGTTTTTACAAATGTTTGTCCTGTGATTGGCTAAAACCTCTCTCTATTGTTGAACCCTTTCACATATGAATGAACAGCTACAGTTTAGAGCACTTGCAGATAAATAAGACAGCATCCTAGATAGTAAATCAAACAGCCTTTGAGTTTGAGTTTATGCAGAGATGAAGAAACGTACGGAGCTCACAAACTTTCAAGCAACTCAATTGAACTTTCGACCAATGTGCAGCTCTTGTCTTCTTTCTTGTTTTGCCATTCAAGCAGCATGCTGAGACACCGCCCACTCCCCACCAACACACAGGGAGTGTGCTAAATGCATACACACGCTTGCGCGTGTAAACTCATGGATGTGTTGGAAGCGTATTATTTGGGTTGAATACAAAGAACAGGGAAGGGGACTTTCGAAGAAGTGGCATCCAGGGCAGGGAGAATGAAAAAATAAGGATATTAATCATTTACATCATACATTTTGAGGGTCATTTTCAGTTCATATACATACAACATGCACAGGCGGATCATCCACTACATCTTAAGCAAATTCTTACTTGGATGAGGATTTTACACATTTTGTGAATTTTTTACCTGTTTAAAGAATGATAGATAAGTTACAGAGTTAAAGTTCTCATGTATATCTGATTAAGCCTCTCTATTATGGAGATGCATAGAAGAATATCTAAACTTACTCAGGGCTATTAAAATGCCAGAGACAAACATAATAACAGCAAGGATAACCCCTGTGGTCCGCAAAGTCTCATAATCTACAAGGATGAAAAAACCATGTGGGACTTAACCAAACAAACCCATTGGATTTCATTATGTACTGCAAAGTGCAGAAATCAATATGTTAAACAATATCTGTGCGTTTTTTTATTTTCATTGTGGGAACTTGCACTGTAAGTGGTGCGAATCTTACCATAATCAAAGTCACTTTGGTCTGGAAACACTGATTCTGCAAAGAAAAGTCCTGTTAGTTACTCGTCAAACAAACCAGAAGTGATTACTTTAATTTCAACAAAGGGGGTGTTTCTATTGGAGCAGCTCCCTTAGAAGTGCAGGCGTGGCTTCAACACTCTTCAGGAGAGTTTTTTTTTTTTCCTGCCCCCACTCAGAGGCACTCTATGCAGCATCTTCGCTCAGCAGAAAAAAATGGGTTACAAGCCAGAAGAGGCATCACAGCAGAAAAAAAACAGGGTGGAGGGGTTTGAACAGGGAAAGCGAATGGAGTCGAGGAGCAGCTAGAAGACCTGCATGTTTTAGGCAAACCGACAGCTTAATTTGCAAACTGTAGCTGTGTCGCAGGCTACCGGCTGTGCCAGCATGGCAGGCTGTCAATAAAGCAGCTTTCATGTTGCTGAGCCCTTACTTTCTACAAGCTGAGCTGGCAGTTTTTTCAAATGTATTTGTATTTTTGCTCTTTTGTTTTTCACAGTATAAATTAAAATTTTTAGAGAAGTGCTACACATTCTTATTCCTGGGCACTTGCTTTAGAATTTTCTTTTTTTGTGACACCCATCAATCAGGACTTTAGCTTAAAACCTTGTCGTATGAAGTACTGTATAAAGTTTAACGTGTAAAAACTATGACCGCATATGTGAAAATACCCCCTTTCACCAAAAACAAAACAAAACAAAATCATTCTGCAATATGCAAAAAAAGCTCAACTTTGAAAGACAAAAGAAAAAAACTAACAAACCTGATGTTGCCATGGCTGCACTGCAGAGATGTTGAAGAGCTCCGTCTCCTGGATATCAAACTGGGTGGTGGGTTGCAGTTAAAGCTTGGGTGTGAGTGGAAGGGCTGGACAGCACAGCAGGGAGAGCAGCTTAATAGTGAGACTCCGGCGTAAACTCAGCAGTAACCCTCTGGTGGAGAAGACCAAACACTGCAAGCCAATGGTGCAATCCAGGGGTAACTCCAATACTGAAAAATGAGCTAAGCTGTAGTTTCCAGGGGAATAGCGCTCACTGAGCAGTTGGCTAAATATATGTTACACTATACCCCTGTTGTTTCACTGCTTAACATTTGTATTTATTTTACACAAACATTTCCTTCTAATACTGCCAATTCTTTCAGTGCGGAAATGGGGGTTTATTTTTCTGAACAAGCACCAGTTTTATTCCCTTTCTTTTGTGCAGTGCAGTGAGCCTTCTTCCATTCCCCCAGAGAAAACTCAGCCTGCATATGCAGCTTTTGCAGAAGCTGCCACAACAGCTACAATGTGGAAAATCTGCCACTTAAACAGCGTGGGGAATAGAGATGGATAGATCTGACTGCATTTTTGCTTGATGCAGCACACCAACCAGCCCGCACTCACTGCTGCTAGTTACTACTGCATGTGTAACTGAACTGTCTGCAGTGTCAGCACAAACTGGGGTGCTGCATAACTGCCTGCTGCTCTGCTCGCTGGTCTACAACTGTCCTAAACAGAAGCGGGGCCAAAAAAAAAACTGAGAAGAGGCTCAATTTAAAACATTTGCTTTATTCTTCAGCATTAACTTGAAAGTCATAAAAATAAAAACAAGAATCACACTATTGCTACTGTATAAAGTTGGAACATCGTCTAATGACAGTTACTAATGATAAAAATATTTTAACAAGGAGAAAATAAATCAGGAAAAGTATCATGAAAAAGAGGGTTGCATTTATTCTTGGAAAGATTGTCTTCTGCTCTGAGCATGGTGTGTGCCGCCACCTACTGGCAACCATCAGTGACACTCTGAAAGAGATCAAACGATAGGTTCGATCAGTCCTGAAAACAGCTCCTTCTGTGTCGTTTTTAAAGGGATTTTGATTTAAACTGGTTGTCTACACTTACCAGCTATTCATCAGAGAGGCGTCTAAGCTGTGAAAAGAGTTTGAGATTAGAGTCTTTAAAAATACCACTTGACGGTCGATTGATATTTACAGTTATCATAAGAGACAGAAACACTTGCCTCTCTGGACACCTGGCTCCACATCAGATCCCCTGAATCTAAGATGTAAAAGTATGGTCATAAAAAAATGTAAAATCCAACTATTTCTAATTGCATCTGAGATTTAAAAATAAGCATGAATTTTAACATGTCTTCCACGGTAATGTTATTCTAAATGAGAATAATTCCAAATACTTATATGTACAACTTTTCTTCATTTCTGATTCACATACCTTGGCTTGTCACTCTTTGAACAGGTACATTTTCTGCCTGTTTTTGGGCACAAGAAAATATTATTGTGGGTTTTTTACATCCCTAGCACCACACAGTAGAACAAGTTAGACTGAAGAAATTCTTAAAGAGACACCCAAAAAGCTGTTACTTGGATTCAAGATATAATATTTGCTGAATGCCTGGACAGATCCATGAAAAAGACACTTGAGCTCCAGATCTCATCTGGCCTGCAGGCCTTGGCAGGCCTCATAAGTTTCAAGGACATTTTCAGGTCAGTCAATTCTCACATTAGTTAAAACGACAATGTACTAGTGTTAGTGTGCAGCTGAGCGTCTGGCTATTGTGTCTATGAAATAAAGTGAAAACAAAAAAAAAAGTTTAATTGTGTCATAACGACATACATGATGTACGATTTCGTACGATTTCTGCCACTGCATGCAAAGTACAAGGAAATGTATTTTTAAGCCACAAAGTTTGGCAAAGGAATCATGCATGTTAAAAGTTGAACTTCTTATATGGAGTGTTTATCAATTGTTTCCATTCAGCCACATGGTGAGGCTTTAAATTATATTAGAATGAAAGACATAACTTTTGTTAATATTAAAATCAGAACTATCCTGACAATGATTAAATATAATTATCCTTTCTTGTCTTCCTCTTGTCTCCCGTTTATATTCTGATTTAAAAACCATCTGATAAATTCATTAACTATAGCAAGTAAATGCTTAAAAAATAAAGGATTTTGGTTTGTATCGGATATGTATTTATAGCAGAAATCTGATGTATTTTGTAAGTTTGAAAGTTTCTATGAGTATCTGGTGTCGTCAAGTCCTGCCATGAAAATATAAAAGGTCTTCATGGAGTGCAGAGCCCCACTGTGGCAGTGTGTGAGGGTCCCACTAAATTATTTATTGGCTGGTTTTGGTTTCAGAACTACAACTGGCAGAGGCAGCGTGAGCTGGCAGCCAGGAGGAGGAATCTTGGAAGGACACCGAGTGAATAAGGGGATGAGTTATAATGGCCGAATTACTGGAAGTGTGCTTACACTGCGCAAGGAGCATCTGTGCGCTTCCTCTAGCAGAGCTCTGGGAGGAACTGCAGCCTATTTGCTGCGCCGCTCCGTCTTAAATTTGTGTAAAGGAACAACTGTGCGGTCAAGCTCACACTCCACATTCCACATCTGCTGTGCACTTGATCACTTACTGACGATGAGGGCGATGCCCAGGAGGAACAGCACCACGGCGAAAACCAGGCCACCGATTCTCAGAGACTCGTAATCTGAAATTTGTGTGGAAAGAAAAGCTGATTGTTTTTGCAGAGGTGCAACATGGAATGCAACAAAACAAACAGCCCACAAACATCTTGAGGACCTTTCTGAGGTTTTGCAAACTACATTCTGGCAAAAAAAGAAGAAAAACGAATGTGACACAATTATTTTTACAGCCTCAAAACAGTTGGTGTGTGTTGGAACTCTACAAATTCCAATAAACTGCAGTCAAACGCGACAGTCAGCTTTCAGTCTGTGGTTAGCCCTCCCTGCACGGCCAGATAAACGGTTGCAAAACAGGAAAACAGCAGTGAGACAATCCCTTCCTCCATCAGCAGCATTGGACAGACTGGGTCTTGTAGCTTCACATAAAAATATATTTTTCTTCATAGCCAAAGAAAAAAAATAAATTAACCAGGCTAAACACTGCAGCAAATAGCAAACATGAAGCCTTTTACAAAGCTATTCTCTTAACCCTTTGTGGCTTTATGCAGGTGCCTCAAATATATGCAGAAATAAAAGTGCCGAAAGGGATTTCCAACAGTTTAAGCTTGTGACCACTTAAAAAAAAGGAAGTGTTGTTAACTCTTCACCGCTGCACATGAGTTTTGGTGTGCTGCGCAGAAGAGGTGAAAGCCCCCGTACGTCAGCAAAGAAAAGAGGATAAAGAAGGCTGACTTTTATACATTCATCAGATTTATCTTGAAAACTCCAGAGGGAAGTGTCAGGAAACTAAGAATTATATCTGGATTCTGGAGTGGACAAGGTTAGCAAAGTAGTAAGATTGGAAATAAATAAATGGCATATACAGTGGCATCCTTAAACTTTATGAACCCTTAAAGTGTTTATGTGTATTCATAACTATAAAACAAAACAGCCAATAACAACCCCTTTTCTCGGACAAATGGTCATATATCATATTCCTGTTAATGATGGTAAAAAGATTAAAGGACTTCACTTTAACATATAAACAACATGAAAATCCTGTTTTACAAGTTAAGTTCAAATTTAAGCTTTAATTTAGTTTTGCTGGTTTATTTACAGATTTAATTATTTTGCTGAAACCAAAGTGACTACACAGCACTTTTGTGCCACTGAAACTGGACTAGTTTGAACTTCTTTAAATGTTTTACACGAGATTTAAGGTTTTTGACTTCCCCCTTTAATTTCTGATGGTTAAGATAGTTAACGCTTATTATGAGGACTTTAAACAAACTGGATTAGGGAGGCTTATTCTTATTATGTAAAAGAAAGTGGGGCAGGGTGTCTGAAACCACAGTAAGTACAAATCAGTCTGTACAACTTGAGGTTATTAAAGATCAAAGCTTTCATCCCCAGGAGCGATCAACACACAAAGATCATTTCATGGTGAGTAAAAATCTATCAGGGCAACATTAAAGCCTGAATAGTCTACTAAGGATGATGTAGAAAAGAAGAATGGCTGAGATGACGAATAAGAACACAAAAGAAGTTTGATTATGATCAATAAATGTTGTGACATACTTAGAAAAAATCGGCATAGTTATCGGTGAACACAGGACGGTCTTAACGACAAGAGAGCAACCAAAACCACACAAACTGTTAAAAAAAAGAAAAAAGGAAAATCCATTTAAGCTGATCTGCAACAGTTAGCAGAAGCATTTGGCAGTTAGTGCTGCACAGGGAGGTCACGGCAGACTGAAAGCAAAGGTTCACAGGCCCTTGCTTCTCATGGGAGGGCAAGTTTGTTACAAATAAATGAAAATGCACTGACGCACAGACAGAGGATAGCAATTTGACCTTAGGCGGTTGCACAAATCCACATGTTTTTAGCGCATCCTCCCAGAATCTGATAATGTTTGCTTTTTAAAAAGAAAGAAAAAAGCTCCCTGTGAAAGTGTCTGACATTCTTTAGCAGACTGTTAAATGTGAAAAATGTGTGTGTTCTTCAGGTCAGAAAACTGGGACACGAGGCGTTGAGAGGTGGGAAAAGACAGAAAATAAATGTTCTTTGCTCTACGACTTTAAACTCAAAGTACTTTCCTTTCTTTTTCGTCCCCATTAATCTGCTTTTCCTTTTTTTTTACATAACATAGTTAAATACTGATCAAATAACATAAGTAAAAGTGAGAAAAATGTTGTAAAATGTGAAAAGCAGGGTCATCCTCAGTGGAAACCTCATTCTTTTCCCCTTGGGAGCAGTAAAAATTATCCAGAGAGGACATGTGATGTGACATTTAGGTTTTGGCGACTCCAGAGGTTTGACCTGAGGGGGAATTTTTTCCATCCCCTTTTGAAAAGCAAGTGAAAAGTGGTAACTTGCCTCAACCTCCCAGATGTTTCCTGCAAATACCACTGAATGAACACTTCTGCCTGCTCAGCACTCACCGTAATGAAAAGCGCTGTCAAAGTCAGCTGCGACAGGAAGAAAAAGAAGAGAGGGGTAGATTAATCCTCTGACACACTCCAGAGATTTCTCATTATATCAGTTTTTGCTTCATCAAGACGTTCGTCTGTTGGTGCCAGTGTATATTCATATTTCTGCTATGAGTTTCTATTGTCTCTTATCTCACAAACAATTTTACTCATACCCACCTCTGTGATCATCTGCCGATGAAACTGGAAATAAAGAGAAAACAAAAAAGGAATGACAATACATCAGTCTTCATACGAAATTCAGTTAGTGATGGAAAAGCTTGTTATGGTCTGTCAAAAGAGAAGGGAGTTCAAAGTGACAACACAGAGCGAAGAATACCTTCAAACCCCCAGTTTAACCCAGGAGAAAGGCATATAGAAAATAACCACATACCTGTAAATACTTCAGCTTTAGATTATTTAACTTAACTTCTGTTTCTCTAAATTTTTTACACAAACCACATATTTAGCTATACAGCCAAAGAAGAAATTGTCCTCAGGGCCCATTGATAAATATGATGTAAATAATACTTGTAAAAAGATAAAAAAATAACAGGGATTTAAAACCACACAACTAAAGCCTGCTTAAGGCCTTCCAGGTACAAACAGTAAGCCCTCCCAGACTTCTCACAATAACAAGAAAACCGTAACCTGGTTAAAATGTGAAAAGGGGGAAGGACTTCCACCTGGTGACTTTGCTTCTTCATGCACCAATTCATGCCAGGCATTATTCTTCCCAAGTCTCACAAAATGTGATCCATCTGAAAAGTTCTTAACCAAAAATGACAAGTGGAGGATCACGCTCACCTTCTAGCTCCCACAAAGTATTTGTCTTAATTCCTCTCACATGTGTTAAGCTGGGCCCTGTGAGCAATGTGGAAAACTAAAGACCCCTTTGATTAGTCTCATAAGGACGCCAAGTTACAATTGTGTCTGTCTGTGTGCGTTTTAGCACTTCAGCAACTTCTCATACTCTGATGTGTGACTTATGGAAACAAGCAAAAATAATCAAACGGCCCAGTTCAGTTTGTGTCAAACACAAAGCAGGCAGTGTTTACACGAGCGCCGGCGTCTGGAGGGGAACAGCGCAACCATGCAGCGGCCACACTGGAGGTTACGCAAACGCTGCTACTGACGGGGGTATCACATCATCGGCCTGTTATTCCTCACAGCTGGAATCAGAGTATTACTTTGCGAATGTGCGGCCTTTGAGATGTCCCCTGCGGCATGCTGGCTGTGGTGGTTTGAAAGCTTTTCTACTCAACTTGTCGCGGCAGCTTGTCAACACTCGTTTAAAAGCCCGAAAACTACAAGACTCGTCTGACAGCTGGAGAGAACTCATGTCGTTGACGAAATTGATACAATTAAATCTGATATGAAAGAGCTGCAGAGTCGGCCATGTCGTATTCAAACCATGAACTAAAATACAGGCCGTTTAAAGCAGAGCGAGAGGTAGGAGAGCTACAGTTACCCCTGGCCTTATTCCTGGGCAGTAAACCCACACCATAATCTTATTTATGATAGGTACAAACACTTTTTTTTTTTTTTGCAGTTTTTTTGTTTTTTCTGACAAGTCTTATAAAAAGGTGTGACTCACTGTCAAGCAAAGAAGAGTCAAGAAAGAGGGGGAAAAAAATCTAGTATGGGAAAATCTGCTTAACGTCAAACCCAATTGAGGGCATGCAGGGCTAACAGAGATACAACTTAGAGACCAGGACCTGTATTAACAATGGAAAACTTGGCAGCAGTCTGAATAACTGATTATTCAAACTGCAGGGAAACAGGAGCATGACCTCTTCTCTGGGGAAAAAAACAAAACAAAACCCATGAGCATAGAACGTTCTAGAAAATAAATAAAGAAAGGAATAAAATGTATGCTGAAACTGCATCGCACAAAAGCAGGAGCTGTTCGGGAGCCACTTTTCTTTCCGCATTTCATCGAAAGGTAGATGTGGCAAAAAGCCATACGAGCCATGCATTCTTACTGGCCACTCCAATGCAATAAACTTACCGAACATCTCCCTGCCAAATGCTGATCCTGTTACACAGACAGGTTGTTAACCTTAGAGGAACTTAGAAAACAGCTACTGGAAGTAAGCCGGGAACATCAAACTTGCTCAAAATGGTTCACCCTAAAGCTGCTGCGTGTTTAGATGTTACTCACCCAGTGCAGGAGCCAGCCAGGAGCTGAAAGCCACCAACAACACGAAGTCCATTGTACCTGTACAGAGGAAACAGAACAGGAAGTGGGGGTGACGCGACAGGTCAGGTATAGATGCAGCAGTTGGGTTAGTTATGTGAGATCGCCTGAAAAAGTGGGAAAAAGGAACAAACCCGAAGATGTGATTTATTTTAAGACAACTTTTTGTTTTCTTTTACACACAGAGTCCTAATTCCCCTGACGAGAAAGCTGAGAAAACTGTCAGTGGAAAATGAATACCTCCAATGACCCCGTTCCTGCTTGGGACATAATGCTCCACTTTGGCTAGACACAACATAACTGGATCACAAATGTTAACAGGATGGATGTCCTAATAATTTGTTCTCTTGGCTCAGGGTAAGAGAGGAAGATCTATTTTAGGCCCATCACCCCAGAAGATGGGGCTTGGCGGTGGTGGGGCGCAAGGCAACGGTGGTGTTGAGTTGCATTTGATATTTGGTCAGTAGGTTTTTGCTATTGGTTTCACATGGTCATCAGCATGGGGGCATGAGCCTCCAAGGGCTGTTTTTCTATCTATATATTATCTAGGACATTCCTTCGGGATTCTCTTACACCCATATGTTTACAGGCAGAGGTTCCTCAACCAGACTACCTCTCGCAATTCGACATAGGAGCTGAAGAAGATCCTCGATTTAGAGAGCACACCGAGTGCGATTCTGCTCGCTTCGCAGACGGATTATCCCCAGTCATGACAACGCCAATGAAACACAGGCACATATATAACTCCACAGTCGAGGAAAATCTTAACCATGAAATGAATTGTTGTGCATTGCAAAGATCAAAGCATGTGTTTAGCAGAGACAAGGATTGCCTCCCTGGCCCAGAGCACTGTTGAAGATTCATGCATGACTGGAGAGGGGGTGTGAACATGGAGCTGGAGGAGAGTGGAAGGAAATGAGCACTTCAGCCCCGAAAGCAGGATTAACCACAAAGGCCTGCCATTTGGGTTTAATAAAAAGAAAAATACCGAGTGACTTACTCTAAAACCACGCAGATCGATAATCTCGTCTGTTAGCCTTCTGAGTGAGTTGGAGGAATATAATAAACAGGAAACAAGCACATGCAAAAACAGTTAAGGGGAATTAAGAGGATTATAGTACACTATAATTTACAAAGACAGTGTGCAATTTTAGAAAAACGATTATAGTTTACATATTCACTGCTTATCCTATTTAAACAACCCCCTCGGTGGATTTCTTTATCTGCTTTTTTCATTGCTTGGACTTGGTTATACAATATGAAATGAGAGTTTCATTGACACCTCGCAGACTTCGTCGCTGATCGTTAAAAACCACTGAGACCCTTCCCCAACTCTCGTTTTTGTTCTCGCTTATTAACGCGATACAGTCAGACGAATTTAAACCGTTGAAAAGTTGCTGGAAAACTCGGTTTGGAAGTGGGACCCCAGGCTAAATTTGAACCGTTTTCTTTTCAAGCACGGTGGCACCGTCTCGCGAAACTTAATTTTGTAACACAATCTAACACAAAACATTTTAAATGGTAAAACATACAACAGCCCCGGACGACTAAATTAACGGGAGCGACGTGTTTGAAGTTGGCTAACTAATTACATGGTCACATGTCTAACAGGAGAAGGACTAGGTTGGGAGTTGGAATAAACTGTCGAGGGGCTAGATTTACCAAAGCAAGCTTAATATAAGAAGCCAGTACTTTTATATTTATATTCAGAAAAGTTATTTTCAGTAGCAGTAACAAGACGAATTTCACAGGAGCATGAATGTGGACGCTTAGTGGAACTTACCGCTTTGTCAGCTTCTTACAACTCTAAGGAAATTTCCGCAGAGAATCGAACTTTGCACAAAAAAACGTTCCACTCAGATTGTTACTTCAGCCAACAACGAGTGTGTTTGCAAAGCTCTGACTTATATCACGTAAACATTCATAAATAAATAAAACCTCTCGTTAAAAATCACATTTCATTGCTGCATTATCTGCAGATGCGTCTGTGCGCTGTTGTACGACTTCACCAAGCTGTTTTCCTTTTTGGTCTTGTCTCAGGAATGAGGCAGAGGGGGGCGGGGTGCCATGAAGTTACTCCCAAAAATTACTCTGAGCTATATTGCTCGCAGCTGAACAACACCAGGAGACTTATTTAACACCGAAACAACCTACCGTGCCCTTAATATCACGCACTGTGTTGCCACCCCTGATAGTTAAATGTGATTTCATAATGAGCCGTAAATCGTGCGTCTCCCTCCCCACAGGCAAGTTTAGGATACATAATCAGCATCTCAACAGTGGGCTTGCTGTAGTGTGGTGTCATTTACAGGCTGCAGAGAGGCTCAGGGCTGTGGAGGGAAAGCATAAACACTGTTGGGCTTTCAAGGCCAGAGCAGTCTGTCAGAGGAGCATTCCCTCAGCTATGAGGAGGCGCTCATCATAGGGTCTCCTCCACAGCAAGCTGACAGATTCTCCTTTCCCTGAGCAAATACACAGCTGGACCAAGCTTAAAGCACCCTCCTGTCCAAGTATGGTATTGTAGTTGGCTCACTTGACTTTGTGGAATTTTGTTGTTGTCTTTCTCATCAGACCTTATCAGGTAAAGAGGTGATTTCTCTCACCAGCTGTGACATCTGCAGCAGATGCCACACGCAAGATACTGGGGGACGTGGGTTTTACATTTTATTTAGACAGCTATACAAATGTATTCTGGTATATTTGTAATAGTGATGCTTATCAACCACAACACACATTACCTTTAAAGCATTTTTATTGAGCCATCCATAAACAACAAAACAAATTTGAAAGATTTAGGCTGATTACAGATTTTTTTTAAATTAAGGAAGACAATTTAATTATTCTGGGCTGTTTGTGATAACATGCTGATTTTATTTGATTTTTATTTTTACAATCCACTAGATGGAGATGTTGGACAAGAGAGAAAGCCACTTGAATCCTCAACTCCACAGAGAACAATAGAAGACAAGATTGCCAAGAAACAATGAAAACTACTATATAAATCAAGAGGAAGCAGTGAAGTGTGACGAGCATGGTTGTAAACAAGCAGCTCTTCATCCTGTCTAACAGAGGGAAAACACAGAGATGTAAGCAGAACTATAAAGCCGTTTCATTCACATGGACACATCCGGTCACAATTGTGAGAGGAGACAACTCCTTTTTTTCTTCTTACCAGTGTACCTGATGTATTCATGAATGCAGAAACCAGCATCTCTACAGGCCACTGCAATGAGAACAGAGATTGTGGTCAAAGTGGCACTTGAGATAGTCAGTTTGTTTGCACAGGCAAAACAGAGATAGAGAAGAATGTTAACAATTGTAACCCCAAAGGAGAATACAAGAGCAAGGATCCATTCTTTGTGGTACTTTTGTGTGATTTTCAAGGTAATGGGACAACAGAATAAAAAGAGGAAGGGGGATGTACAAAACTATCCAAAGGACTGACTTGAGGATAGGATGCCAAACTAAAGGAAAGGACAGAAAGTAATACAGCACCCAAATGAGTCTAAAGAGTCTTCAAGCAGTGATTGGATTGCAAGCTTGGTAGCTTTTGATGGCCATGCCTGTCAGCCTCACCTGCTTTTTAATCAGTAATTACCACAGGGGATTCTCTGGCATTTCTTAATTAAATTGAGCCAAATGCAATTAAAAATTACACTTTCATTCCTTTAAAAGGGCCCTGTGGAGTCCTTGTTTAGTTGTTGCTGTTAACAGAATGAGCGGTTGAATGGTCACAGCACTGTTCCATCTTTTTCTGATCTGTACTTGATTATCTAACTTTGCAGTTTGTGTAGCGGAAAAGAGGACAGTAAGATCTTTTTCTTTACCTGAATGGTTATAAAGAATAAACCGTCAGGCAAGTTTTTTTTCTTCTTAAATGAATGTATACTTATATGTGCGGCACTTTGTTTCAGAAAGTAGTGAAGCGCTGACATATTGCCGAATGCAGAAAGATATCTTTAACAGTTAATATAATTTTGTGTCTTTGTAAATGCTCACCACCGTGAAAATTCTCCAGCATTCCAAGAGCTAATAACTGCTGACATGTCAGTGGTGATTTCCCCATCTGCTGTCTTCAGATCATCTTTGGAGTTGTTGTTGTAGTTGCCACAGGCGCCACACAATTTGCCAGACATGCTACTATCAACAGTGACAGTGACCTCCTGAGAAATTGAGTAGGTGACCCGCACAGCTGCTGTCCTCTCAATGACCACGCTCCTCCCTGAGATTTGGACTGATAGCTCGTTTGTCACTTTGCTGGGAAGTTTCACCTTCCTGCCATTCACCTGAAGACAAGAAAGGCAAGGAAACAGAAATAAAAGTCAAACGAACTGAGATGAATGACAACCAAAAACAAACCGTGGCTTTCCATCAAAAGGTTCTCACCCAGGTTTCATGTTGGCTGTTCACTATCACAGTGGCATCCTTGAAGAACAGGTACACAGTAGCAACAGCAGGAGGTGCTCCCTTTCTGCATTTCCTCACATCCACAACTGCACGGAACCACTGAGGGGCGGCTTCGTCGCACACAGACGCCACCTCAAAAGCCCCCAGGGTTCCAATCGCTCCAGAAATATCATCAAAGGTGCTGAGCTTGCCAGCATGACTGACTGTGCACTGGCTCTGCTTGACATGACAAGCTCTGACCCCATCCCTTACATTGCAAACTTCCCCATCGGCACAGGAGAGCTTTTCACACTTTACCACACCAGATGTCTGGCACACACACTTGGACTTGCACTCTTTGTCCACTACTGTCTGACCCACCTGGAACACACAATTTCTGGTGTCAGAATAGCTTATTCACCTCCTCACCCGTGTCTAATTCCTGTGACGAAAATGGAAACGACATGGGGAAAATGATCATATTTTCAAATAAAACGTTTTACCGTCAGGTATCTGCCATTGTGCACGCACCCACAGTTTTCAAGGGGTACACATTGGACACCATCAAAAACAAAGCCATCATCACACTGGCATCCTTCAAAACAGATTTCGGAGCAAGTAACTGGCTGAATTAGGCTGGAGCACGTGGCACCACAGGTGTCAGCGCACAGCTCATAGTGACTGTGCGCGGGGCAGGAGGCGGCTGCAACAGAACAAAAGTATGGACGGAGGATTAAAGCACAGATGACACGTACACACCCTCAGGTCAAAGATGTGGCTGTTTCCCTTACGGCAGGAGGAGCTGCTCCTCCAAGGCTTGATCTGGACGCCGGCGTTCTGGCAGGCCAGCGCGTAGGCCTGCACACTGTTGCACAGTGTGTCTTTGTCGCCGCCCACAGCACAAACATCAAACACACAATTCGACACATATGCTGCGGGGTCGATTTTACCGTGGCAGGCTTGGAAAGGCCCATTAGTTGCACTTATAATACCGCAGGAGTCTGGTTTTTCATACAAAGTGACCTGGGCCTTATCACACACTGGACACTGTCCTCCACAGCCACCGCACACGTGACCGGGCAGATCCACCACCCACGCCTTCCCAAAGTCATCGATGTTGTTTGTCTGTATGCCCCAGGGAAGGCGGAAATCATCCTTTCCTTGCTTGTTGTAATTCCCACAAAGACCACACATCTTACCTTGGTATGTGGAGGGAACGATCACCTCAACATAATACACAGTGTCATAAAGGACCTTTAGTCCGAAGTCTGTTCGCACTACTATGTTGCGACCTTCCTGCGTCACAGTGACGCGGCCGTCTTCCAAGTTGAGAGGGATGTTGACAAGTTCATCATTCACCTTGACACAAAATGTAGACGCAATCACCATCAGAACATTTGTGAGGGAATTTAAAAACATGCATGTATGTGCAAAGGTTTTGGACTCACGATGACTTTCCATGGCACTCCTTGCTGGATTAAAATAACATAGCTATAAACTCCCACTGAGACTGATTTGGTCACCGCCACTTTTCCATTTCCATACTTTTCATTGCCTTGAGTCACAGTGAACGGCGTGAGCGGGCCTCTGTAATCATAGCAGACCATGGCCAGTACATAGACACAGGTACCCTGGAAATCAAACCTTCGCCCATCAAAGGAAATGTAATGCGGGTCGCCTGAAGCCACACACTTTCCTTGCCCTTCTGGATGGCAGCCTTTGACCCCATTTACAAGTTTACAAATTTCTCCTGGACGACACTTGGCCTTTGCGCAAGACACAGCTCCGTTCTCTCCACAGCGGCACTGATCCATGCACGTGTCTTCAGGGTAGAAAACATCCCCTTTTTTGTAGTACTGACCATCGTAGGAGCATCCACAGTCTCTCACGGGCACACAGGCATCCCCGCTCTGCAGGTAGCCTTGGTCGCATTCACAGGCCTCTGCACAGCGCCTGTGGCAGGTGGTGAGGGAGGTTAAACTGGCACAGGTGGCCGGACAACCCGAGGCACACAGCGCGTAGTGGCTGTTAGCAGGACACTCCATTGCTATGGGAAAGGATGAGACCAGATGAGAAACTCCCTCAAAACTATGCCAGATCACACAAAAATAAATACATTTAAACTCACGACAAAATGTGTCCGTCCTCCAGGATTGGATGGTGATTCCCCGGCTCTGACAGGCAGACGCATACACTCCCACAGCCTCACACACTGAGCCTTGGCGACCGTGATAGTGACAAACATCATAAACGCAGTCCTCCATGTAAGGGGCGGGGTCCACGTGGCTGTGACACTCTCTGAACGGCCCTGCCTTGTCAACAATCATGCCACAGAACTTGGTGGCTGTGTACACCTTCCTCTGGGAATCTGAGCAGGCCTGGCACCACGCGCCTTGGCAGGTTGAGGAACAGCCTGGTGTGCGGGCGACCTGCCAGCTCTCCCCCAGCGAGGCTCCACTGGGAGCGGTCTGGCCACTGGCCATGGTCAGGTCGTCTTGAGCATTCCCGTTGTAATTGCCGCACAGGCCGCAGACAGCGCCCTGGTAGGTATTGGGTAAAGTAACACTTATTGTGCTTCTCCAGTCGAAGCTCACAGTGATACCAGCGACTGTCTGAGCCACAGCCGTACGCCCGCTCAGAAACACAGACAGCTCATTATTGTAATCCAGAGGCAGCGAAGCAAGCTGCCCATTGAGCTGAAGAGCAGAGAGGGAGGGATAGAGGGAGGAATATTTTTAGGAGATTATAGATTTAATAATTCTGTGGCCCATGTTAATCCATTCTTATGTGCATTTAAATCTTAGTTTAATTAAGACTGCCTGGATCAAATTTTAATATGCAATTAAATATACATGCAGAAGAGCATGAGGGATGTCAGAATTAGCATGGTGACAAAAAGAATTATCATCCACTCATTTCAATGAGGCTGAGAGGATCTGTGCTGTTATTTTCAATAACGCGACAACATGCTGTTTCCTATTTCTCTTCTCCCCAAAAACCTCAACAACGGGACAAAAACACTTTAATCATTTTTTACATCACCGATTCCCATCATGATCATCAGCTCACCATCTACACTTACCAAAACCTTGCTGGGATATTCTCTGCTGACGGTAAGAGTGACGCCATGAATGGACAGAGTGACGGTTCGTGTGTAGGACACGGCCTTGCTTCCCCGGTGGTCGTTCTGCACGGTGACGTTGAACGGCACCAGCCCGGCCTGCTTGGCGCACAAACCAACCAGCTGATAAACACACGTCCCCTGGAAGTCGTACCTGCGCCCATCAAAGGTGCGGTAGTGTGGATCCCCGGAGGCTGTGCACGTGCTGTAGCTGATAGGTCGGCAGGCACGCTCCCCGTCCAGCAGCGTGCATTTCTCGTTGGCCGAGCAGGAAGCCTCTCGGCAGGTCACCATGCCCAGAGCTGTGTCACACACGCACAGGCGACCGCAAGCCTCGTCCGCCCAGAACTGCTGGCCCGGCTTGTAGTAGCGGCCCTCGTAAGAGCAGCCGCACGTTTTGGCGGGCACACAGGCGCCGGCGCTGAGGACGTAACCTTTGTCACAAACACAGGCCTCCTCACAGGCACCCTCACACTTCTGCTTTTCCTCAGGGAATGGGCAGGATGGCTGGCAGGGGCTGGCACAGTCTTCATAGTGGCTGTGACGCTGGCATTCCATTGCTGGATGTAAATTAAATTCAAACAGGTATTAACAAAAATAAAAAAATAAAAAAGGTGAATTTCCAAATTTAGGCGCAGTCTTGAACAGATAAACTCAAATACGTACGGCAGCCAAATTGTTTCCTCCAGTTCTTGATAACCACTCCGTCCTCACGACACTGGTCATTGTAGGAAGCCATTGCTCGGCAGAGCATCTTTCTGTCTCCCTTATTGATGCACATATCATACACGCAGCTGTTCATAAAGGCCTGAGGGTCTAGTTTTCCAGCACATTTTTTGAACACACTATTGGCACTGGCTGCTAGAGCTCCACAGAATGCCTGGGTTTGGTAAAGTTGTCGCTCATTGTCATCACAGGTAGGACAATTTTTTTCACAGGTGTCCCAACAAGGATAGTCCTTGTCCTGGTCCGGTGTTTGCCAGCTCTTGCCCCACTCTATCACTGAGGAGACAGCTTTGCCAGCCGGATTCTGAAGCTCATCGCCTCTGTTGCCATTGAAGTTTCCACACAGGCCACAGACACTGCTGAAATAGCTGCTGGGTAGCTTGATAACAATACGCGAGCTCCAATCGTAGGAGACAACCAGGCCAAAATCAGTCTTGAGCACAGCATAGGGCCCTCGTTGAGACACAGATACTTCCCCGTCACCCAGTTCAACGGGCAGATTCAGCAGCTCTCCATCTACCTGTAGAACATGCACCAGCATTATAGATGCACTTTTTACACAGATACATACCAAGCTGAACAAAAGAGGCTAAACTCTCACCATGACTCTGCCAATTTGGTTCTTTTGGATAGTGATTTTGTATTCATACACAATCACATCCACCTCCCTGACATAGGAGACGGCTGTGTTTCCCCGGTTATCGTTGCGCTCTGTGACAGAAAACGGAACTAGACCGTCCAGATTCCCACAGGTCTTTGAGATGACATACTTGCAGGTTCCCTGGAAGTCAAAGTTGAAACCATCGAACGTGTGGTAGTGGGGGTCACCCCAGGCCCAGCAGGCACCCGTGTAGTTGGGGATGCACACAGCCTCACCCTTCTTAACAACGCATTTTTCCTGAACACGGCACTTAGCGTCTTTGCAAGGATCTGTAAACAAAAACAAACAGATATGGCACTTTTTTCATTTTGAATATCTACAATGAATTGCTGAAAAGATTATTAAAAAGGTGCAGGCCTTGCCTGTATTGTAACATGCCCTGATTCCCTTCTTGACCATGCATTTGGTATTTGATGGACAGGAGTGTTTTTTGCAGGCGAGGCCAGTTGCTGGATTGCAGGTGCAAACTTCTCCACAGCCCTCCTCATAAAAGACTTCGCCAGGCTGGGACAGAAGTTCAGGGAGAATTGCCACAGCAGAAAGAATAGGTTTAAAAAATCAGGTTAACCTGCTAGCAGAGGAAATGCTTATGAAAATATCTAATATAAAATTACGTTTAAACAAACAATTACAAATTCACTCGGGATGATCGCTGTGATAAAATAAAACATTTTCACACTACTGACTACAGCTGTAAGCTCTTTGTGCAGATGGAGGAACTGAATTGTACCTTGTAAGTTCTCCCATTCTCATAGCAGCCACATGCACTCTCTTCGATGCACATCTGTCCGTTGAATAAGAAGCCTGTGTCACATTCACATCCTTCTGTACAGCTGCTGGGGCACTGGACGATATCCGTGAGGCCGGGGCAGGAAGAAGCGCAGGCTCTTGCACACACTTCATAGTGACTGTTCGCTGGGCATTTCATGGCTGTAGTCAAGTATCAAAAGAAAAAAGATATTAGGGAGAAATAAATTCAGTGACTGTTATGTTCAATCTTCTCTTTTTTTGGGGTCACTTACGACAGAAGGAAGGAGTCCTCCAGTTTTTCACGTTTACTCCTGCCATATGGCAGTTGTAGGCGTAGGCTGCTACGCTGTCACAAAGCACCTTTCCATCCCCGTTAGAAACACACATATCAAACACACAGTCATCAAAGTATGACTGTGGGTCCAATTTGCTGTGGCAGGCTGCAAATGGACCTTTGGGTGATGTTAGAATACCACAGTAAGTGGTCTTTGAAAACACAGCCTTGTGGGCCCGATCACAGTCTGGACAGTTTTTCCCTTCACAGCCATTCTCACACACCACGTTAGGAATGGTGACCTTCCATGATTTGCCAAACCAGTTGACGTTTTTGGTGAGCTTATTGTTTGACATCTGGAAGTCGTCTTTTTTGTCCCCGTTGAAGTTGCCACACAAGCCGCAAACCTTGCCCCGGTAATTCCCAGGTGCTGTGACGGTCACATGATAGACCAGGTCGTACGTGACGATTAAACCAAAATTTGTAGCAATGACGTAATTTCTGCCCTCTTGATAGACCTGCACTTCTCCCTCATTTAGATTCACTGGAAGGTTGTTAAACACTCCATTCACCTAAGAGAGTGGAAGAAATGTATAACTGTGACTACAACTATATGAATACTAGTCAAATTACGAATGAGTGTCACTCACCAGAACTCCAAAAACCTTGTTCCTCATGATGAGAGTTATTCCAGAGACCTGCACTGCAACCAACCTGGCGACAGAGACTTTTTTTCTTCCTCTCATTCTGTCCCATTGAACATTTTCTACCTGAACAGAGAAGGGCTTAAGGTGGGTACCCTCCAGCCCACAGCTCTTGGAGAGAGTATAGGTGCATGTGCCCTGGAAATCGAATCTTCGTCCATCAAAGGAGAGGTAGTGAGGGTCCCCAGAGGCTCGGCACACACCCTTACCAACTGGGTGACATTTTTGGACGCCATTTTCTATTTTACACTTCTCGTTAGGGCCACATGTGAACTTCTTGCACACGACCTGATAAGAACATGCAAGAAACACGAGAAAGCTTTTAAAACAAAGCAAATTAATTCCTGTTTGATGAACTCATAGTAATGTGTGCCACATTCTATCTGTCTAGCTGTGATCATAATTTCAGTTTTAATCACCTCTCCATCTTTTGTGCACTTGCACTCCTCCTGACAAGTTGGATAAAACACCTCTCCGATGCGGTAGTAGCGCTCTTGGTAGATGCAGCCACACTGTGAGAAGGGAACACAGCCATCTCCGCTGAGGATGTACCCCTCATCACAAGAACAACCCTCTTCACATTGATCCTGGCAACTTTGAGGAGAGGCAAGTGTCTTGCATGTCGCAGGACAGGCAGGGGCACACATTTCATAGTGGCTGTGGGGGGGACATTTCACTGCTGCACAGAATAGACAAAGAACAGTGACAAATACAGGGAAAGAACTGTATAAATAAACAGATATATGTCTACTGTGTGTTTTTTTTCATTAAGAATGAAGAATGATTCAGTGGACATTCAGTTTAGAAATGTAACGAATTCTCACCACAGAATTGACTGGTCCTCCAGCTCTCCACCTTTGCACCTGCTGCTTGGCAGGCTGAATTGTATGATGTAATAGACTGACACAACACATCTTTTCTGCCTTTATAAAGACATACATCATAAACACAGTCTTCAAAGTAGGCAGCTGGATCCACCTTGGCATGGCAGTGACGGAATGGTCCTTTGGGGTCTCTTATGATGCCACAATAATTGTCCTTTTCATATTGAACCATCTGAGTAATGTCACAGTTGGGACAGACCCCTTTGCAGCCTTCTACACAGCCGGGGATCTCAGCAACTTGCCAGCTGGTACCAAAATCGACTGGTTTTACAGGTTTGTTGCCATTTTTGGGGGTCAGATCATCATGGGGCTTGCCATTGTAGTTGCCACAGAGGCCACAAACGGCTCCCATGTAGTTGCTTGGCAGCTTTACAAATACAGCACTGTCCCAGTTGAAAGAAACTTTGAGGCCAAAATCTGTTAAGAGAACAGCATACCAGCCACTCTTATGAACGGTTATCTTTCCTTCAGCAAGGCTGATTGGAAGGTTGACCAGCTCGTTATCCACCTAAAGGAGAAAACTTGGTGTTATTTTATTGCTGCGATCAAATATTTTACGTCAGGAAAAACTTTAACAGAATTAATGATGTACAAAAAATAAAGTGCTTCTTACCATAATCAGGCCCTTGTTTGTCTTTGAAATGGCAATGCTGTGTGAGTAGACCTTTATCTGTACTAACTTGGTGTAGGAAACTACTTTACTACCCCGATGATCATTCTGCACCTGGATTTCAAAGGGCACCAATTCGGGGTTATCGGAGCACAGTGCTGCGAGCTGGTACACACATGTACCCTGGAAGTCGAATCTCTTCTTGTCAAAAGTCACATAATGAGGATCACCCGTGGCCTGGCAGGTGCTATAGGACACAGCCTGGCAGGTTCTTATGCCATTCACCACTTGACATTGCCTCCCTGGCCCACAGCCTTTATTTTGGCACTCCACACGCCTGCTTCCAGGCACACATTTACACAATCGCTTGCAGTCTTGGTCAGCCCAGAATGTCTCCCCAGCAGGAATGTATAGACCCTCATATGCACATCCACACTTGGCGATGGGCACACACTTGTCTCCACTTAAAACAAAGCCTGCATTACAGGTGCATGTCTCCACACAGGGGCGTTTGCATTTGGACGGGGCATTAGGGTCAGAACAGGTTGCGGGACAGGCATTGCCGCACAGCTCGTAATTGCTATTGGCTGGACATTTGGCAGCTTTAGGAAAAAAAAGGTAAAAGAGAGTGAGGCAAATGCTTAAAACAATAACAAAAATGCTTCAGTAATTCATTTGTTCAACATTACTCACGGCATCTAGCCATCTTTCTCCAGTCTTGAACCTGGACGCCGGCATCTTGACAGGCTTCAGTGTAGGCCTCCAGAGCTTTGCAAAGAAACTGTCTAAGACCGTTTCCCAAGCATAAATCGTATTTACAGCTGTCAAAGTATGCTTGTGGCTCAACGGCAGCATGACATTTACTGAATGGACCATTTATTTTACGTGTGATGATCCCACAAAATGAGTCTGTCTCCCACTTTTTCAGCTGGTTTTGGTCACAGTTGCCACACCCTCCAACACAGTCATCACTACACTGAGGATCGTCCACCAGGCCTGGCACCTTCCAGCTGCTACCGAAGGCAACAGCCCCGCTGGCCTGAGCGCCAGACGGGGTGGTGAAGTCATCACTGGGATTACCATTGAAATTACCACAGAATCCACAAGTCTGACCACTGTAACTTTTACAAAGAGTGACCACAAGGTTGTGATCCCAGTCGTAACGGACAGTCAGACCAAAATCAGTCTCGATGACCACAGAGCGGCCGCTCTGAAACAAATTCAGTTTGTTGTTCTTCAAGACAATGGGCAAGCTCCACAAACTATTGTCAATCTAAAACAAACACACACACAAACCATGTGTCAATAGTAAAGTATGTGGCAAATATATTAAACAATAACTGCCTTTTACTCATGATCAGTTATTTCTTACCCTCACACGGCCTCTTTCAGACCGAACGGCTGTTATGGTGACGCCGTATACCTTCACCGTGACCAGGGCAACATATGACACTCTGCGGCTTCCTCTGTTCTCATTCTGGGCCAGGACCTCGAAGGGTGTGAGATCGGCGTCTGTCCCACAGTTTTTAGTGATGACGTAAGTGCAGGTACCCATGAAGTCATAGCGTCTCCCATCATAAGTGCGGTAGTGAGGATCTCCCATGGCCCAGCAGGTGCCACACTGTTGTTTGACCGGTTTGGGGACACAGACTGGACTCCCACTTTTCATTTCACACACCTCATTTGAACTGCAGATGAAGCTGCTGCAGGACAAAGATCCACATCCTTAAAAAAACAATGAATCAATTAATGATGGCATACCAGTGGTTAACAAATGGGAATTTCTTATCTTCAGGGCTGTGTAAACTCTGATGTGCCTCTCACCTTGCTTTAAACACTGAGCTGGGGCACCATAGCCATTCATCTGGCTAACTCCAAAACTGTAAAGGTTAAAGCTGCCGCCAGAGCTCGACACAATGTGGATATTGTTTCCAGGGGCTTGTTTATAGCACATCTCGGCCCAGGAATATTCTGTCCCTGGGATCCCTTTCCACTTAACATCTTTAGGAAGGCTTTTCTCATCAAAACGTAACAATTCTTTTAAGGTGTTTTTTGCAACAATCAGGGCTTTGTTATCAAAACCGTCCAGAGCCTGTAGTGAGTAGGAAGAGCACGAGTGGTCTGTGGACATTATAGTCATCAAAAACGGGTCGTAGTATTGGTACCAGCCTTGAGTGACACCATTAAAGAGCAGGAATACTTGGATGCTACGATCAGATTGAATAAACAGTGCCTCTTGATTGTGACTCTGGATCTCCTTAATCTGTCCGCTCGAGAAACTGAAATCGGATTTACGGTTGCCTTGGTTGACAGTGACTCTGGTAGGTTGGGAAGCCAGGAGGTATACACTATCGTATTTCTTCTGGAAGCTCAGTGGGGGCACAATGAAGCTGGTTCCCCACCTGCTTGTTGGCAGAAGCTGCTCAAAAACATGGTTGCATTTTGAGAATTTCCAGGTACAAGTGTGCCCTGCGAAAACGGCAACAGGGTTCTTGGAAGAAACTCTGGTTCCAGACAGGTCAAATGTGCTCTGGAGCTGTACACTTTCATAGGGATTGAGATCTATTGTAATTTTACTCCCTTTTCCATAAACATGACCCTGAAAGTTGATTTTCCCTTCAGGGAAAATCTCCACTTTGTTGCTGACCTTCCCATTTGTCACGGCAAACTCTTTAAAGGAACCGGGAGGGGATGCAGGGGGAGTGAAAATGAAGTATTCTGTGCCCCACACAGTGGTTGGATATATTACAGAGGTGTCTGCTGTGTACAACTTGGAGTTAAAGGCGGTTACGGACACATCTCCCGAGGCTTCTATGGACACCACGTTGGGAGACTTTTGGCTGCCGTACATCTCAACAGCAGTGGGAACATTGATGATCACAGATTCTCCTGCATTCAGGGATTTCTCTTGGTTGAAGTTCAATGAACGCACGCTGGCTGTCACCTTAGTATTGGCTTGAACAGCAGTTATGTAGAGCTGAAAGCGAGGGGTGTCATAATTCGGAGCGTAATTCAGCATGAAAGACACAGCAAACTCTTTCCCTGTCCAGCTAGTGCTGGATGGACCTGAGAGAAGAGGATGGAACAAGGACACAAAACATGTCAAACGGAGGTCTTCGTTAAAAGATAAAGTCACTATAAATGAAGGACTGAGACACAACTTGACTGTAGAATAGCTACATATGTTGAAAATACAGACACATTTTGTGCCAAAGCAATATAAGAAATTAAAGACTGGCCATTTTTGAAAAAGCATGAGACTTTTAAGATTAAGACATGGGGAAAGAAACAAGATGACACCAAAGGGAAAGTTGCTGAAAAATACCTAATTTTCCAAGCTAAAAGGCGGGGATGAATACTAGCCTGGAATGAGGGAAGTTTTTTTTCTCCTCAACAACCATTGTGAGTGATAGAAAAGTAACTTGACTGCTTCTTAGAAGTCCTCAATAAATCACCTGTGCTGACTTTATAGTTGCATAATGGAAATATTATCAATGTCTGCGCTACCGGAGAGAGAAAAACACTCAGTCATAGCCTGGGGGATGTAGATTACACTCCGCTCAGACATTCAGATTTTATAGGTCCAACTCAATAGCACTTGAAGGTAAATACAATCCCCGCAAAAGCAAATTCAAATTTCGATGGTTATCTTTTATATGCTGCATTCTCAGTTTTTGCTTGTTTAGCACTCTGTCTCACTCATAAAGCACCTGGGATAGCCACGCAACAATGTCCTAAGCTGATGGGTCTGACTACATTTCTAATCATCTACTGCTGAAGTAAATCACTGATTGGAAAAAGGGAAAAAACACTGTAAAATGAAAAGAAAACCATCTGTAAAACTATACTTACAAATCAGTAAAGACCCCACAGCACAAAGCAGCAACAGGGTTCCCATGGCTGAGAGGGTGAAAATCTGATTTCAGTTAATATTCAAGTCAGGTCAAGTCATCCAGATAATATTACTGCATTCTGTTGACGATACAGCTCAAATGCCCCAAGTAAGAATGGTACTAGCTGTCAAGTGGCCCTCCTGTTCAATGTTTTTTCACAGTTCCATCCATTTATAAACTGATGAACACACACACACGAGACCAATGAAAGATGGCCATCAATATCCTTCCTCTAAAACAAACACAGGTGAAACTTTGTCATAACTTTTAGGTCCTGTTTTATGTTGACATAGGTGTGAAGTCAAATAAAAAGTACATGTATAGGATTAATAATCAAAACTGTCGATGTCACACACCCTGTCAAGTTTGTCCAACATTTAATCCAGAGAAAACTCAAGGAATCATTGCCCAACTTTCCCAGTAATTCTGATAAAATAGAAGCCTCTGTAGTCATGGTAGAAAAAAACATACACGCAAAGAGAATACTAATATAGTATGAATACTAATATATCAAGATATGTAAAAGAAATCTGTGATGGTATGTTTCACAATAATACTTAGCTGGATAAGCATTGACATCATATCAGATTTCAACAATGGCTACCATGCTGTTACATTAGGCCAAAATGAAAGGAGACAAAAAAAGAAGATTTTCACAAAATGAAATGGCATGTTTATTTCTCCTGAGTATCCTCCTTTCTTTGACATCTAAGGTACCTTTTTTAATCTGGCATAGGTGCACAGTATCACACTTTCCTCTTAAACTCCTAATATGTCCTTTATATTGTCACAAGCATCCTGTGTTTATTTTGTAAAGAGGGAGTGATATCTAGAGGAACTGGTGCATTAAATCTTTAGCTAACATGCCTGTAGAATGGCATTACCAGGGTTAAACAGACGGGTTCTTTTGGCTTTGTTTCCCACCAAAAGAATAACAACATGTAATGGAGGGTGCAAAGAACATTTGAGTCCAACAAAGTAAATACGACTCGGCTTTCAAATGTTTGCATTAGAGTGTTTTAAAAATGAAGGCTAAAACTCAATATTTAATTGAGGTTTATAAAACCTTGGGCAGGGCTAGAGTAATACGCACATTGTGGGGCTGATGTTGGATAAAGGCTTACCCTTATCAAAGCTTTTGTTAGAACCTGTTTAACATTGTTTAAACATAAATGTATTCTTATGAAAGTGTTAGCTTCAGTGGTGAGAAGGCTGCTCATTTTTTGCTACACAAACAAACATTGTGTCAAAATTATTTTAAACTGCCTAAATTCCCCACCACATGACAGGAACACCAAAAATGAATACAATTCACCATTGAGATGCCACAGAGAGTAAAGCGGGACAACCACCAGAAATGAGGGCCGAACAGGCAGCCCATGATTGAGCTCCTCATCTGCCCTCTGCAGTGTCTCAGGTTCTGCCTCACGGATGTGCGCCCCCCCCCACCCCCTTTTCACTGCCCCTGTTGCCTGTCTACCTGCTGCTGAATACACCCCACTAGCACAAAATGATTAAATGGATTAATGAAACAGTCTTGTGCTTTGACTTGGTCTACGGGCATATCTGAGGCACAGCCTTGAAAGTTAAAGCACCTCATACCGACTTCGTGAGGTCATACTGTGTGACAAACAGCATACTGGTACCAGGACAAACTAAAGAAATAATCATATTCATGATATATGGTATAATGGACCAAATATGCCTGAAGGAGAGTTTCAATATTAATATTCAAATTATTATTAAACTCAACATATTGATAACAAAGTCAAATGAATTAATTCTAAGTTAGACTACCTTTTAATTCTAATTAAATTTAAATAATTTGCTTTGTGTTGATATAGGTCTATGGTCAATATTAAGTAAAGTAAGAATAACATTAAGAGGGAAATTACCAGAACATTTCTGTGTTTTAGAAGACAACCACTTTGTTAGAATAAGTACTTTAATGAGATTGGGAAGACTATTGATTTTATTAAGCACCTAAATGTGATTGTTTTTTCTTCAAGCTAAAATAAGTGCTTTCGGGTGGATGCAATACTGTTATTTACCTGTGTGCGGTGAGAACATAGTGATTCATTAGACGCTGTAGGAGAGTGAGGCTGTTACATCCTCAAGGTATTGAGCTCAGAGGAAAAGTATATACATACATACAAAAGATGATTGTAACATATTCTGTCCACTGAATAAAACGTGCTGAATGCTTTACCTAATTTGGCATATAAATATATTCAATACGCTATTAATAAAACACTAACTATTTATGATTGCATTCATAAAACAATTATAAATTAATTAACTTTTGAATCCATTATGACCAGATTTAGGTTTCCACATTTTATTTTGTCATAAATGTATATCAGATCTAGGATTTCACATAAATTATGGTTATAAAAATATTAAAACACTAGGTGTCAAATGAAGGAGAATTTAGTGACTACATTGTATATTCCTCTCCTTTTTTTTAAAGAGATTTCGTGAGATGTTTTAGGTGAAATAAGTGAAAGCTCTGTACCGCCATCTGATCATGCTCAAATCCAGCCAGAGCCAAGAGGTTTGAGAGGCGAGTCCGGGGTTCAGCAGGTGGCTTGTATTGAGCTACACTGATTTCCCCAGACTGTGGAGGCATGGACACCTCCCATCTGTGTCTGTTTCAGCACCCCCAGGAGCGATTCATCAAATTACACTGCTGCCCTGGGCTGTTGTTCGCCCCCTCACACAGCACCCCACCCACAGGGCAGAACCAACATCTCTGTGTGCAGACCTCAATGGACTGTTACTCCACTGTCTAACAAGTGGAAAATACATTCTGCAGTTGCTTTGAAGTACCCTATGCCTGTGTTGATGGTTTACTATGTGATCCCTTGAGGATGTGAAATACACTGACTCTGTTTTGCATGCATGCCTCAAATAATTCACTTCTGAACACACTTAAACAAGACCATGTATACTCCCTTTCCACAGCTTGCTTTTGCCTGCACAACCACATGCTGAAGAAGGATGCAGAAGCTGAAGGGGGTCCTGTGGTGAGGATGCTGGAGAACTGGTGAGAGAAATGCTCATTATTAGGGTGAGACATTACATTTAAAGTGGGCTCATAGTTAACTTTTTAATCCCACTGATATTCCTTTAGCCTCCAGGCTGTTTTATATGCTCCTTGTAGTAGACACATGCTACATGTGCCTTCTTCCAGTGGAAGCCAGATGTGTAAATAACACACTCCACACAATGTTCCAGTGGTTTCGTTTAGTTGAGCCCAGCAAGAGACTATCACAGATTGTGCTGTCTTCCAGTGACAGATTGCACCGATCAGTCTCTCTAACAAGTGTCAGTGTTTTGTGACATGTCTGCCCATGCAGGAATTCTGAAATGCCTTTTGAAAAGAACAATTTCTTAGGTGCAAGTTGTCAAGCGTGTCTCTACTTAAATGCCTACAGTACTGCAGTGATGTCATGCAGCTGAGAAACATTCAATACTGAGTGGAAGACGGTTTAATCATCGGTTCAAGTAGTACGGTGGTCATCAGTGTCCTGCCAATTTATGTACATTGTGAGATTTTGGTTACCCACATGCACACAGGGAAAACAGAACGTCACTTGTTTGTTTGTTTGTTTTTTCATTACCGCAAAGTCAACAGAAACCTTGCCTGAAAGCTAATGGCAGGGAAAATGCAGCCGTTGTCCTGTCCTTCAAGGTAATCAGCAGAGTACAGTCATGTGAGGCTTAATGGAAGTGGACTGACAACACATAGGTACAAGCTCAATAGTTTAACACACCAAGATTGAATTAGCTCGAGTCAGCAAAAAGAGCTGGCACAGCACTTACTGCAAGACAAGACTTCTTTACTTAAACAGCTCAACATCGTGTTGCATTAACTTCTCCTTTTTTAGAATCTAGATTTTGGCAGCTTTTCAGTTAGAGACCAACACGGTGACCACCATCAAGGATACAGATTTTTTTTTATAGTATCAAGGTATTATAAACTCCCCTCCTTCTTTTCAGGTGTCCGAATCCAAGAAAGGGAAAATCTCTCTTCTTTTGACGATTGTTTTTAAGATTAGAATTGTTCTCTCAGAGTTAAAAAAGGTGTTTTAAAACATGGCATTTTCATTTATTTTTCAAGATAACATGACAATTTGTCTTACGTACTGAGATGCTTGTTTTCAAAACTTTATGAAAATAAGCAGCTGCAGTCCCATCATCATATCGGTTTCTCAGTAAATGGATTTAACTGATGAACAGATTGAACCATGAATCATGCAGTCACGACACAAAAATCCTTCCTGCTTAAATCCCATCCACTGCATCCATACCCATTAGGACATCAATATTAGAATTATTATTTGGCTCTTATGAAGTGGTGAAGTTAGTGCTGCTGTCACACAGGTTAAGTCCTGTGGAGTTGGCATGTTTCAGTTTGCTCCTGTGCAATCCACAAATAAATTCATACATGTTAGGCAACGTAGAGGTTCCAAATTGCTTGTAATATGAGTGAGAATATGCATGGTCATCTATCTCTTTGTGTTTGCCCTGTGATGGACCAGCAGCCGGGCAAAACTGCCGCCTTCGTCTCCACAGGGGCTAAGTGACGGCTGGAACAAGGTTTAGTATTCAAAATCAGGAACAGAAAAATGATGAATGTAAAAATGATCAACTGCATAATACTCATCAGCTCTTTGACAGCCCACAATTCTGTTTGACCCGTAGAAGGCGGGAATGACAATTGCTCACAGATAAGAGGCCCACAGGTGCAATTAACAGCCTGGAACTATAAAGTTTAGTTCTGTGAAGCCTGAGCGTGGAAATATAAAAGAAACCCATCAAAATGAATGGATATGATAACCAAATAGGTGAAATAAAAAATAAGAATTTAAATTAGATTTGAATTAGATTTCATGACTACTTTGCAAACTAATGGAGAAATTTAGCTGAATGTGAATAACCAGTTAATGTAACACTTTTCCAGTCATAACATATAAAATAGTAATGTTGACCTTAAACCTCCACCCTGAAAGTGAAGAGCAAAAGACGGCACCCTGTCTGCTATGACCTAATGGAGGATTTTAAGCGTATAGAAAAATACATTTTCAGGTGAGGTTGAGCTTGAGGTAAAGTGAGACTTGCATTTTGGCTCAGAATTATTGTCAAGCCCTTACACAAAGCCCCATGAATATGAGGTATGAGATCACAGTTCCATGCAGCGGCTGCATTTCCAACAGAGATCACAGATTGTGGGGAGGTTAATACAGTACATCTTTATCCGAGTCAGCTATTCTTTTGACTGAGAGCTTTTGATGGGTATCTATCCATTTTTAATGATGAATAGCGAAGTGTTTTTGAGAAAATGGCAGGTTCACACGTACTCCATTTACCTAGCAGAAATGATTTACAAACATCTTACACAGTTTGTGTGAGAGGGATAAATAACTCATGTTGAAGGTTACAAAGTCACAACATGAATTACCAGAATTTTTCAAAAATAAAGCATTTTGTCGAGTTGCAGGTCATTCTGCCTGCTCTCACTTTCATGTGCGACTATCAAAACAGGCTCCACATCCAGTTTCCTGAAATCGGATGTGTGCCAGGGGGTGAAAAATGTGGTCATATGAACCATAAAATTCAAATACCTTTCGGTCAACATTGCTCTATTGGGGTCCATCACAGCAAAGGAGGGGACACTTTGGATTTGGGGAAGCAACCCTTAACAAGTTCCTCAGAAAACACAATATGTCATGTGTCCCACGGCGTGACAGAAACAGCTTTGTTGCACATGTGCTGCCCCTGCCCTGCCTTCAGGTGCCCTCCACCGTGAATGCCACAATTTTCTGAACTGAGACGGATATGGCCATTTTGAACTAAACCCCTGCCACACAGGTACTTGTTAAAAAATGTTTGGAGGCACTATGCTGTTCTGTAAGCTGAAGCTGAGGTGAACAGAGGTGGAATTCATACTGAAAGTGGTCCTAAAGGGGCTGGGCAGGTCTGCAGAGATGTGTCAGTCACCCAGGCTACGGTTGACCAATGACGCGTTAGTACCCTCTAGTGGCTCAGTGGCACCTGAAAAGGTGGTGGCCTTACTACTCCACAGCTTCTTTCAATTAATCTTAAACATGCATTGGATTATCATAATCTCCATCCTTTTAAATACGTATTTTTTTCAAAAATCTCACCATGATGAAACATGTGCTTACAAAGGCATTTGTTATCCCTCCACATTTCATTTGGTATGCAGTGATGCTGAACTTTATATAAGGCGGCTACAACTGTGGACGACATTAATCTAATTTTCCTCGCTCAACAGGTGGGGTATTAATGCTCACAGCAGAATCCAACCCTCCTCCAGGCAGGCAGTGGATCATTGTGGGTTGAGCAGACAACAGTGTAATCTGCAGAGGAGCAGAACAGTGCACACAGGAGACCCTCCTGAAGACACAGGTCACTGGTGCAGTGCCTGTAGAAGCTGCAGGGGTCCACTTTGCCATGACAGTGTCTGAATGGTCCATTACCTTCTAGAATACTCCTTCTACGCCTTTGGGTCAGAGAGGCTGCCTGGGCGATCAACTGAACATTTTAGACAACTTCCTCTTTGACAGTCTTTCACACACCGAGGATTCTGCACACTTCCCGGTCGCTTTCCAAAATAGCTGTGACTGAGATGGCCCTTTGTGCCAGTAGTTTTTCGGTCCACAGCGGGACCAAAGTTCAAACTACCCCACAGGCCAGGCACTGTGTTGGCATAAGTTCTGCAGGGACCTTCTGTTAGTGCTGTTCCTACATCCAAGGCTCCTGTTTGTGAAAGAGGAAGTGCACAGTGCCCTGGAGAGAGCGGTTGCAGTGGGTCTGGGGTAAAGGGACTTGTTACTTTTGGCAAGATCAACCTCCAGAGGGTGCCAAATGATATCTGTAAGACAAACCTTGGGAAACCTTCCAACAGTCATCTATGAGTTCTTTGTTACGATACATTCATGGATTTCCAAACCATGAATGTGGCAAAAAGCGCCTTCTGTGGCTTGACATTTTCGAACAGCGAGATACCATGTTGTTGTTTTCAAAGCTTTAAGTTTTGGACTCACAAGGATTCTGTCTACACACCCAGAGTAACTGGTTCTGACAGTTGTCATGCAAATCACGGTCACGGCAGTTGAACAAGAATGTTTTGCCTATTGTAGGTCAATGGCTTTATGGCTGCAGTGGTTATTATCTCCACAAACAACAACAACATCATCATGGCACTGTGTCTTGTGGGTTTGAGGGTCACAAACGAGCTGTCCAGAGCATCCCTCATCCACCCAGATGGACGGTCGCTGCCGTGAGTGGGGCCACGCTGACAAAGGCACACAGGTGTCACCATCGTGGTTGGGGTGTCATGTGTCAGGACAGGCTGTGCCACAGGACTCATAATGACTATTCATTCGGCAGGAAATAACTGATAGAGAAGGAGAATAATCAACATTATAGAGTTAAACTGCTCCCACAGGCCTTCTGAATCTGCTGACACTACACTCAACACAGATGCTGTGATGGAAGCAGCTGCTGGGCTGTTCACAAGGTTTTGGTGCTCTACACATGTTCAATTATTCTCACTAATCCTAAATAAACATAGTTATCAACAGTAGAAAAATAAAATGTCTTAACATTTTTTTGTTCTTAAGATTGAATATTTTCACAACAAAAAACAATGACATAACAACAAAATCAAACAAAGAATCAAAAGTTTCCGGCATTGTTTTGTGCTTTGTTGATGCACCTCGGCAGCTTAATGTCTTCTTGGGAATTAGTCTGTCTGTTTGACTCAATTTAGACTAGTTGTCTTGCCTTTGAGAGACACAACTGCCAGTTAAAGAAAGTTTTACATGACATTGTATTGATTTTTAAAAAACCTTGTGAACTTAATTTTAGCATGCAGTCACTCTTTTGAAGATCTCTGTTCTTCAACATCCCCATCAGCATAACATCATTTAGGAAGATAGTAGCACATGGGTCTAGGACTGAGGACAGGCTCGTCTGAGTGGGATGACCGGAGCACAGTCCAAATATGCTGCCTGCAGCTGTTCAACGTGAGCAGAGGTCAGCACAATCAGCTCCACATCCTGCTTCTCACTTAGAAACCGTCCAGAAATGGAGGTAGCATTTGAGCTTATTCCATAACCTCATATGTTGTTGGTTTATTAATCTAACTATTATGTTAGTATCCACAAAAACAACAAACATGCCATGTTGATGAATCTTCAGAGGCCAAACTCTGGAATATCAGGTGGAAGCATTTTCTAGCCATTTCTACTGGGAAAAAACATTTTTATTATGTTATTTAACATATATCTTATTGTTCTTCAGCTTTTTGAAAACATCAGCTCCTGGTGACGCAGCTTAAGTTTCAGTCAGTCAGCACAGCTTTGTTGCACATCGCCATACGTGTTCTGACATGATAATGTCCACACCCAACACCTCGCTAGTCTTCATTTAACCACGAATGCTTCAGAGGTCAAAGAAGAGGACTGAAAAAAGTTTTGAGAATCAGAACTTCACACAAGAGTTCACAAGTTTAAAGTTTGTCCAGCACAATTAATGGAAAGGTTCCTTTGTGTTATTCCAAATATATGATATTTTTTTGTGTTATCACTGCTCATTCATTTCTTAAACAGAGTAAACCAATTAACAGTGATGAGCATAATATAAGGATCACTTGCTGAATACTGAATTGGTCCTTTTTCATTTACCAAAAGCTCTGACTCAACCTTTGGGCCCTGTGAGTTGGGTCTTTTTGGATTAGCAGAATCCATCACATTCTAACATTTGGCATCTATAAAGTTTAAAGGCCAGACGAACAGTTGAGGGCTAAAATTAACACTTCTCATTGGTGTAATTTATGATATCCATAAAATATAAGTGCACTTTAATTTAAATCAAAACCTATGTTCAATTTAAGTGCATAAAATGGGCATACAAGTAATAATTATTGAGTATTCTAACCTTGACCATGGATACAAGTCTAACGAACCATAATCACCTGTAGGAAAACATTAAATGACAGATTTGTATTAAAAAGTGCTTTATAAAAGACTTGCATAGGGCATGAAAATAATTTAAAATGCTGGCTTCGGACTAACATGGAAACATTCTTGTGTCATGAGAGAGGGCCCCCACAGACAAACCCTCCACATAACATAACAAATATTCAATATTTTGTTGTGAAAAAATTAGAATACAATGCTGGAGCTATCATGAGGCAAACACTGTGAGAGGTGTGTTATTACTTATGTTTTATAGGCAGCACAATAAAATCTGCTGCCCTCAGGCCAACCAGCAGATGTTAAGTACATAATGGACTATTCAAAGAGCTGTTGTGTAACCCTAGTTTAGGTGAAATGACAGAGGACAAAGGGGGAGGGTACTTGTCTTTACGGCGAAACCAAAGCTTAAAAAATAACACAAAAATAACAAAACAAGTAAAACAAAAGTGACAAATAAAATTTGATATTTTTTTAACCGTAGTTGCTTGGTACAGCTGATCAACAGTTATCCTCTGAGTAATTGCCACCCAATCCAGCAAAACCAGCTATGTCTACTTTTCCTTGCACAGCCCCAGGTATTACTGAGGGTGGAGCTTTTTCCCTGTGGGCTCTAAGCAGGCTCACAGCACGTAGGGTTCCAAAGCAGTTAAATTGCTCAGAGCATCCCTCAGCCTACGATATTGCCTCATTCTTCAGAAAGCCGAGAGTCACTCTGTGTCAACTGTTCGCTGAACACTGAGCAAACAAACAACAAAGGTTAACACAAAGGCACAGGATTTTGTAATTGATCATTTGTCATAGGTATAGGCGAGGCACATGCGTGTTTGGCCAAGAAATGAATCATTCATGCTACTGGCAACACATGGAAAAGCTCAGTCGAATGTGCTGTGACACAAACATCACGGGATCAGCAGTTCATTTGTTCCAACATCTGTGGGTTACCATCAGTGGTTACATTTTTTTTGTCACATCATATAAAACATTTTATTTTTAATTTTAGTTCCATTCTATAAAATCTAAAAGAAATAAATGATCTTTTCTTGCATTTTCTGTCAGGCTGATGTAAAGGACCGGGAAGCATTGCATCACTGAAGCATCTTCCAGAACTTACTTGGATGTGACAGAGGTTAGCAGATGTAAATTCTGCCACTACAAAGGTACTGAATAAAGATCATATTATTTAGAGGTGTTAATATTTAGTGGTAAAAGCTTCCAGGAAGACACACATGTGGAAATAGAGCTTTGGAGCTTCCATTCACACTCCATCACCTGTCACAGCAGCATTGCTATTTCTAAACAAGGAAGATAAATTTATATGGAAGGCGGTCATTTGACTGTAATCAAAATTAGGCTCACTATGAATTACACCAGACTCTTTATGTACAACTGTGGATCACCTGTCCGAAGGCAGGAAATGAAGCGGGACAGAGCACACCATCAGAACCAACAGTAGAAACATTATTTCAGGTACATAAGTTAGCTTGTCTTTCTAAATGTGCAGCTCTGACTAATTTCCACAATATTAAAATTAATGGGAGGCTAAGTTAGTGCTTCTTTGTGCTTAGAAAATGTATATTCTGGCATTCTCACAAGTGTTCTTTTGACATCAAATTAACTTTTTGGCATCCTGGTCAGACATCTCTCCATAAGACAACAAGAGTAAAAAATAAAAAAGATCAAGAACAAGTCAAAAACCACAGAAGAGTCTGATATATCCCAAATACCAGATCTCTGTCCATGTCCTGACAGCTCAGAAGTGCTGTCATACTCAAGCAGCAGATTGTTGCGTAGCGAAAATCTGTGGCCACCTTTTCTGTCACCTTTTAGACAGCATGGTTGACATGTTTGTTCATTTCAAGCTTATTCATTTTTATTTACATTTTAATATGAGAGGATATTTTATATATAATTGAAAGAAAGACACAGATGATTTTCATTGTTTGTATGGCTGGAAAGCAGTACGAGGCAAAGAGAACACACAGTGAAACAACAGCTTTAAACATTTTACCGTTTTGTAATCAATAGGTATAGGAATATTAACAATGATTCCTCCCAATAAAGGTTTGGCTCCCTCATAACAACATGGTGAGGTAATGTCTGGGACAGGGGTTGTCTCTCTGCATTATCAAAGGAAACTTGTAATCAACAGTATTCTTAAGTACTGCAGTTCTAAATTTGTATCCACAACTCTTCTACATAATTGCTTTCCTCGAAAAAAAATCCAATCCTGGAAACTGTAACCTCATGTGTTCATGGATTAGTTAGTTTGCCAGTATTTAATGGTCCCCATTAACACATTTCCAGTTATTCTGCAGTGCCAGGTCCAAATTAGAGTTCATGCTTACATCAAAGCTAAACAGCCCACTCAGCAGAAAGTGTTCTTAAAATCATCAATCTATGAAATTAAGGCACAAATAAACCATGCAAATAAACATAAAAAAATTCAAACTAAAATTGTATCACTTTACCAAACAAGTTTTGTTTATGTGTATGAACTTTTTAACTTTCAACTCCTCTGGAGTGTCTTCATGACCACAAAGGATCTGCATG